ACCCCGTTCCTATCAGATACTGCCTCCCATTCCCCTAAAGTCGCTGCTGGAACCCGAACTGGTGTGATGAGCAAGAGGAGACTCTCGATTCGAGACCAGAAAGTGCCACAGGGCCCGCGACCGCAGGATCCTTCACGAACAAGGTAGTCGGACCTCCTTTTCCTCTTTCTGGTGGATTGTTGCCCCCCTTTCCAAGACAATTCGTTTTCTTTGTTGGTTTATGCGCCAAGTTTCCTCCTAGAGCTCTATGTGTGACGATGGGCTGATCTTGATGTCTTAGCAACATGTCTGGTTCCTTCTTTCATTCCGGTCATTCTTCGATTGATTCCACCAACGATTCGACGCAGAGCAACAACTCCCGCATCAGCCTCCGATCTACCAGCATAAGTAACTTCTCAAAAATCGAATACAACAAACAAACCCCTCCTGACAGCACAGAATTCCTCGCCCCCGTCAATTTCGACGATCTCCAAAACAGCATAACAGAGCCGAGTCTCAGTCACTTTCCCACTCCTGGACAGGCGGGGGCTGGGTTTGAGCCAAGGCTTCCGAACAATAGTAACGATAATGGCACGAATACTAGGTCAAGGAGCAATTCCGTTCGGCGGAAAAGCCTGGTCAACGGTTCTATCGATCCAGGTTCGGCTCGAGCTCCAGCTTCAGCCACGGCTGCTCGAAGCCGTCGCCAGAGCCTTGCCCAACCTACAGCCACAACCACAACTACTTCGCGCGCTCCTCGAAAGTCCATCGGCCCTGGCTCTCTCTCGGCAACTGGGACAGGCAGACGGCAAAGCCTGTCAGCACGAAAGGCCAGTGCAGACACAACGCGGATGGATCAAGGCAACCTTCTGCGTCCGAGGACCCAGCATTTCGAATCGGCCCGACAACAGGATGGCACGAAACTCTCTAGCACTTCCCGGAGCATCAAAGCCAAGTCGCTGCAACCGCCATTGAGGGAACCCCAAGAGACCTACCTGACAGCATCTGGCTCTGCGGAGCATTCTCGTTCTTGTTCCACAAACGCTGTTCGAACTCCAGTCAAGAACGCGGCAGCTCCCGTGGCAACTCCATCATCTTCATCCAAAAGGGTTTCGGTCATGCCGCCACATGCTACTGGCTTAGGGGCTCGGACCATAAGCCCCACTGATGCGCGACGAATTAAGCGTATGTCTACGGTGCCATCGGCGCAACAAGCACCGTTTACCCCTCCGACTCAGACAGAGCCCATGCCTACTCGTCCTAGGTCCACTGCGCAATCCCCTTCGCATATTCCTCGAAAGAGCAGTGTAACCCCCTCGTCTACTCGTACTACGCCTGACCCAAATCGGAAATCTTATAGCTCTGGCTTATCTCTATCATCAAACACCAGCTACAACTCCGCAAGGAACTCGGGGGGCTCATTGCAGACCAGGCTATCTCAGTCTTCATCCACGTCACGTTTGCCTACCCCCAAGCCTCGTATGGAACATGCGGCGGCCGATGAGGAGGTTCCGCCTGTTCCTGCAATTCCAAAGGCGTACGAGTCACCCAAAGGCGATTTTGACCCACCAAATTATGTTACCCCCCGAAAGCCAAGTCTATACTTGGACGTCGAACCCAAGCCTAAGGTAGAACAAGACTCAGACACGAATCAAACAGCAAGTGCGACCGAAGATGATACACATGGAGCCAATGACGAGCGAGCTTTGAAAACACCGGATGCGAAAGCCAAGCCATCCGCCGGGCTGGCGAAAAAGAGTTTACAGCCCTTAAAGTTACCGCCGTTGAATTTGCTTCCTCTGGGTACCCCAATGACGACGAAGATCGAGGCGTTGAAGGACCGGGATGATGACGTCAAATCCTACACGCCTTCGGCACAGACTCTGTCCAAAACCCCCAGTACTCCGTTAACCGCCTCCAAGGCAAACTTTTTCTCACCTCAGGACAATGAGGATGCAGTGCCACTTACTCAGGCTAGAAGTAGCACGTCGCATTTCGCCTTGAGTACATCATCAGGCAGTGCGGCTCTTCGGACGGCCAGCAGCTCTAGTGCGCTGGCGGCTTTTGACAACATTCCTGTCGGCACAAGAACCGTTTCGCCATACATTGCGTACAGCTTGCCGAAAAGCACTAGCGACTATACAGCTTTGCGCACTAAAGCTACCGATGATTGCTCTCCCAAGGTGACTCAGTCTCACAAGCTCACCGGGCCTCGTCCCCAAACACGATCATCCGCATTCTCTTCCAATGCCGAGACCATCAGTCAGCTTTCGACTCCTTCTGACCCCGACAACAACAGCGTGTCGGGCTCCTCCCTCCGCAGTAAGATCACCTTCACTCGGAACCGCAGCAGTTCCAAGCCCCAGCAGGGGCCCGAGTCAAATGGCGACCCTATAAAACATGAAAAGATGCCCCCACCGAAGCTCCCAGCCTCTGCAACTTGGAGTAATATGTCAACAACGAGTACCTCTAGCCCATCGCTCAAGCCGTCCTATCTCAAATCACGGCGACAAGCATCGATGTCTACCGCTACCAACCAGCCGATGAGGAACCCTAGCTTCAGCAGCGACCAGAGCCTCGCGCTGGAGCCAAGTCCTTCCAATGAGTCAGGCGATAGTGAAGTGGTAGCGCACCGCTCAGCGGCGTCGATCTTATCGCCTGTACACAAGATTATTAGCTCGGCCAAGTCGAGTGTCGGGGCCACGTCAGTTCCCACGGAGTCTAATGTAGACGCCGATATACGCGTGGCTGATGAAGAAATGCGACGGCTTGGCAGCAAGCGTAAAGATTTCGAGACCGCGGCTAGGAATCTGGATGACTTGCGCCGCAAAGCCAGTCCCAAGGAGCGTGTCAGTCCGGCACAGGCTCTGCGGGTCGCCAGTCTGAACATCTTCGAGCGTGGAGAGATCATCGACTTCAAGGATATCTACTTTTGCGGGACCCAGAATGCGAAAAAGCATGTTGGTGATCTGACTGCGCAAGCGAACTTTGGCTACGATGACGACCGTGGCGACTATAATATTGTTATTGGAGACCATTTGGCCTACCGATACGAGGTTATCGATGTTCTGGGCAAGGGTAGTTTTGGTCAAGTGGTGAGATGCATCGATCACAAGACAGGCGGCTTGGTTGCCGTGAAGATTATCCGCAATAAGAAGAGGTTCCATCAGCAAGCGTTGATTGAGGTCAATCTCCTCCAGAAGCTGAAGGAATGGGATCCTCATCGTAAACACAGCGTTGTGAACTTCACCCAAAGCTTCTACTTTCGCGGCCATCTTTGCATCTCGACTGAGCTGCTCGGAATGAATCTCTACGAGTTTATCAAGGCACACGACTTCAAGGGATTCTCTCTTAAACTGATTCGTCGCTTTACGAAGCAGATGCTGGGTACACTGGTGCTTCTACACAACAAGAAGGTAATTCACTGTGATCTCAAGCCAGAAAACATCCTCCTCGTGCATCCAATGAGCTCTGAGATCCGAGTCATCGATTTTGGATCCAGCTGCTTTGAGAATGAGAAGGTGTACACTTATATTCAGAGTCGATTCTATCGTTCTCCGGAAGTCATTCTCGGCATGTCGTACGGTATGCCCATCGATATGTGGAGTGTTGGTTGTATTCTGGCAGAGCTTTTTACCGGATACCCCATCTTCCCCGGAGAGAACGAGCAGGAACAGCTTGCTTGCATCATGGAGGTCTTCGGACCTCCAGAGAAGCACTTGATTGAGAAAAGCACTCGGAAGAAACTCTTCTTTGACTCGCTGGGCAAGCCGAGACTTACAGTCTCTTCGAAGGGTCGACGACGTCGTCCCAGCTCCAAGGAGCTCAAGCAGGTCCTGAAATGTGACGATGAGGCATTCCTTGACTTCATTTCCCGTTGTCTTCGATGGGATCCCAGCCGCCGTATGAGTCCACAGGACGCATTGAGGCACGAATTCATTACGGGGGTGAAGATGCCGTCCCGAGCAAGAACCTATACACTGACGACGCAATCTCCTGCGAAGCGGGCAACGACGTCTTCTCACCCTTCTGCCGGCCGGCCTCTGCCGGAACCTCCTGTGACCAGCCTCAAATCCGGCACGCTGATCCGCAACCGGGATGCTTCGGGAACCTCTCCAGTCAAGCTACCTGCGGGTAAACGCCATTCGACTGTGAGTGGACTACCACCGTCGACGCCCGCCAAACGAGGAACTAGCATTAGCACTACCAGTACTCCTGGCTCGGCGCTACCTCGCGTTGCAGCCCGGAGTATTAGTGGCAAGCCAGACCTCGCGACGGCGGCGGCTGCGACCAGCCTGGTAAGTGCCGAAGAGCCCGACGAAACGCCACGAGCCGGCCATTAACTTGCATACAGAGGACGAAATGAAGTGGGCAGTATCATACGGCTTCGCATCCCTCCCAATTTTCACTTCTTGCATATCTGTAATAATAATTGTTTCTTGTTTTGTTTTCAAGGTTGTATAAACGGGTGGAAGCATCGGCGGTTCTGTCTCCCGTTGTCATGATTGATTTTGAACCGTTATGGGCCCCGTGTGGTGGACGTCCAAGGGGTTCGTGGTATACCCTTAATTGAGCATCTGCATGCCTTCCGTATGATTTGCATTTCGATTTTAGAGCCCTTTTCCGAGCATGTTGTTCTCCAATCCTGTCATGACCCTGGGAGCTGTCTACTCCCCTTCCTGCATTTGTTTCCTTTGTCACTCTTTCCCCCCTTATATGCTTTCTTATCTCTATCTCCTTTTTCTTACTTCCTGATCGGGTCCTGATGGCCGGTGTTCCGTGTTCATGGGCGGGCCTGGGTAAATGTGATGGTGATGCGTGGATAGCATCTGTACAGTTGTCTCTTATTCTTTGGCCTCCCCTCATCATAGATATGGCAGTGACACGAATGGTGCCAGTGGTGGAGGATCGTGATGTTATGACTTAGACCATATAGGCATATATACCAAGCATATCGCCTGTGGATTTGTGTTTTCTGTAGTGATGTTATCTACTAGTATTTTGCAGGAAGCTAGTATTGGTTACAATCCCGCTGTCATCTATTCCCAGCTTCAACCAGCGGGAAACGATGCTATCATGGGTATATAATGGTGATTACTTGTAAGCTTGAGTGTTGACTGGAGTGCCGATAGTAATCCTCGATATGAATTCGGCTCCAGGCTATAACCAAGCCCTCACTGATAATAAGCCCCCTGATCAAGCGGCAGAGGTGTCTGATCTGGCCACAAGAGTACGATTCCATTCTTTGCAGCCGTTACTTCCTTCAGATCGACAAGTAACCCCTGATGCTGAAGCAGACCAAGCTGGTCCGTAACCCAATACCTGCATCCGACACCCGCAGAGTCAAATTCGTATTTGTGGCGGTCATTTTGAATGAGGAGATTATAGACGTCCTTGACCTTCAGGTTCGGAGGAACATGGAGTTCGAACTGGGTCTGAGCATCCGGTGCCCATAGATATGGAAGCTCTGAAATAGCTATGAATCCTTTGGAGCCACCATGGAGAACTGTGCTTGGGACTGTATGACTTGGCTGGCAATCAATGCAGACGGAGGTTGTGTCAGATGTTGCGAGATAGAGACACCAGTGGTTGGTGCCGGCGGTCTGGGTGTGAGGTACTGCGGTGATGCTATGCACAGGGCTATTGAGGATAACGGCTTCGCGAGACGGGGGAATGAAGTGGATGATTTGGAAGTTTGGCATGTTTAGTATGCAGTTATGGTTCTTATGATAGGCGTTTCTGGTAAAGGTTTCACGAGATCGACAACCCTGTGAGAAGTTCTTTGGCGGTGACTAACTGTTATGGATCACCTGCCTTGAATTCTGGGATGATATCCAGAGAGACAGAATCTTTCCTATTAAGTCGATGACAGCGGTTCTCTACCATACACTGACACTTTATTAGGCGATTGAAGCTGTAGAAGGTTGTAGTTTAGTTAACCAACTAGTTAGTTAACTACTAGCTAGTAGTTATGGTTCACGGATGATCAAGGCTTATCGATAAGGGCGGGAAGGGGAATTGCGGAGAAAGAATCAACAACTGAAGGGGAATCCGGACTACTTGGCCTTTCGGCTTCCTTTCGCCAATCCCTCCGCCGCTCCCCTCTCTTCCTCTTGCTTTCCTCGGCCTCCATACGAGAGCTTTGAGCTCCATTGATTGTCGCTCCCTATCTCCTCATCGAACTTACACTCTGTCCTTCCTTTCATTCTCTTCTACCCTCCCCCTATTCATGCCTTGATCGGTTGAATTGTTATACACTTCGCGACACGCATTCGTGATGAATGGCTTCGCATCGCACGGCCTCGACGAGGATGCATTCGGGGAGAAGTCTGGGCTGCAGGGCGGCCTAAAGACATTTGATGCTTTTCGTACGTTGAGCTCCGTATCCATGGATCATTTCAATGTCCACAATCATGCGTTTACTATGGCCCAAGCCTTGTAGTAACCAGCCGCGCATGGATATACTGCCGGTCCATACCAGCCAGCTACGCCTCGAACTAACATCGCATTGCTCATCCAGCCAAAACAAAACCCTCATACACTGCCCCATCCCGCCGCGGAGGACAATGGACCGTCCTCATTCTCGTCATTTGCACAGTCTTCACCTTCTCAGAATTCCGCACCTGGCTCAGCGGCTCCGAGAACCACCACTTCAGCGTCGAAAAGGGCGTCGGCCATGACCTACAACTGAACCTCGACCTCGTTGTCCGCATGCCCTGCGACACCCTCGACGTCAACATCCAAGATGCCTCTGGCGACCGCATCCTCGCCGGCGATCTGCTCCAACGCGAGCGCACCAGCTGGAAACTCTGGATGGACAAGCGCAACCGCGAAACCTCCGGCGGCGTCCATGAATACCAAACCCTCAGCCAGGAAGACTCAGACCGGATTTCCGCCCGCGAAGCCGACGCACACGTTCACCACGTTCTCGGTGAAGTGAGGAAGAATCCGCGCCGGAAGTTCGCCAAGGGACCCAGGCTGAGGCGCGGCGATACCGTCGACTCATGTCGCATCTACGGCAGCCTGGAGGGCAACAAGGTCCAGGGTGACTTCCATATCACAGCTCGCGGACATGGATACAGGAACTTTGGAGAACATCTGGATCATGGAGGTACGTTGTCACCCCTCCATCTCTTACTCACACATTCAAGATAGAAACGCAGTCAACTAACATGCCCATTACCAGTCTTCAACTTCTCCCACATGGTCACCGAACTCTCCTTCGGCCCTCACTACCCTACTCTCCTCAACCCGCTCGATAAAACCATCGCCACCACCGAAACCCACTACTACAAGTACCAATACTTCCTCTCCGTCGTCCCCACCCTCTACTCCAAGGGCGCCAGCGCCCTCGACACCTACACCAACCACCCCGATCTCATCGCCACCAACAGGAACAGGAACCTAGTCTTCACCAATCAATACGCTGCCACCACCCAAGCCCAGGAGCTGCCCGAGAACCCCTACTTCATCCCCGGTATCTTCTTCAAGTACAACATCGAGCCGATCCTCTTGATGATCAGCGAAGAGCGGACGAGCTTCCTCTCGCTGCTGATCAGACTCGTCAACACCGTCTCGGGCGTTATGGTCACGGGAGGCTGGGTGTATCAGATCTCCGGGTGGGTTGGAGAACTGGTGAACCGGAAACGGGGTAGAGGAAAGTCAGAGGGTGTGCTTACGGGGAAGCACTACGCGGAGGATTAGATTATCTCCATCATCTCCATCATCATCATCAATTTTGTTATTAGCATTATCATCTTTTGTGTATGCCTAAGTCCTTGTCTCGAATTGTGTATATCTTTTGTGAGAATACGAGGGAAACTGGATAGTTAGATAAAGAGATATGTGTTTTGCGTTGCATATTGTACTTCTCGTTTAAAATCTGTCTTGTATTCCGGAAACTAGCATGTCGAAAGAAGTACCCGTTCATGTTAGCACTTATACAAGTATCATCTATACTCACAGTGCATGTCCTATCCCGGTATACAATAAGAAGACCAGAACCAAACAAACAAACTAAACCGCTCTCATCAACGCAAAAGTCCATCCGATCCCACCCACGGTATCATTCCCATTCAAGCAACAAAACAAAACGAACCTAACCTTCAAGGGCAAGAAAGATAAAGTAAAGCAGAAGGGAGGGAAGGTAAAATTTCTAAATCTGAAAAATCTCCCCCATGCCCACACCCGCCCCCTCAGCACCAGCCCTACTATCCACCAAATCCAACCGCCAACCATGCCAATCCCTAAGCTTCCTCTTAATCTCGCGCACCCATTCGACCCTCTTCCGCGCCTCCTCTTCAGCCTGTGCGCGCGCAAACTCCGCCTCGTCGAACTCATCGTCGAAGTTTTCCTCGGAGAGGAGCTCCAGACTGCCTCGTGTTGCGGGCTGATGGTGTTGCTGGTTTGAGGAAGCGCGGCCGCGGGTAGCACCACCACTACCGCTACCGCTACCACTGGCTCCGCCGTAGAAGGTGTTTCCGCCAGTGAAGGCGGCGAGTCCGGAGGACAGGACTGTGGAGAAGGAGGAGTGTTGTTGCTGTTGGGACTTGTGGTTGTTGGCGGCCATGCTGCGACGACGGGCATGGTCGGGAGTTCCGCCGATGAGGTCGACGTCGTCGAAGGTGTTTGCTGCTGCTGCTGCTGCTGTGGCGGCAGATGGTGAGGATGCATGGGGGAAGGAGGTATCTGGGGAGTGGAGGTGATGGGCATGGTCAAGTTCCTCGCGACGTTCTTTCCAGACACCGCGGCGGAGGTCGAAGACTTCGCCTTCAAGATCGCGGATGCGGCGATGCAGACGGGAGCGTTCTTCGTCTTCGAGTTCGTCGAGGGCGTCATCGTCGGCGCCGGCGCTGCCGTGGTCGGTGGCGTGTCGTTTACGGAGGGATTCTTGTTCTTCTTTGAGGCGGAGGTTCTCGTTCTCTACGTCTGCGAGTCGTTTGCGAAGCACCGCGGCTTCTTTTTCGATCTTCTCGGTCTCGCGCAGACGGGTTTGATGACGGGCTTCGGATTCCTTGTGTAGGTTGCCCATGGCTTCGAGCTTCTTTTCGAGGGTCTCGGCTTTTTTGTCTGTTGTGGTCTTCTCTTGTTTGAGTTCTTCCAGCTCGCGCTGGAGGTTCTTGATTAGTGTCTCTGTGGAGGTCTTGTCCACGCCCTCTTTGACGGCCTTTTCTGAGGCGCGGGTCAGCGCGCTCTTGGTGTCGGTTAGCTCGCGCTGGGCTTTCTCGAGCGCGGATTCACTGCCGGATAGCTTCTCTTCGAGAGCTACTATTTGGGCCTCATGCGCGCTGCTCGATGCGAGCTGTGCGCGCAGGTTTGAGATTTCCAGTTCCATCGCTTCGATAGTCGCGGACTTGGACTCTAATTGCTGCACCAGGTCCGCTGGAGGAGACTCCGAGGGGCCGGGCACAGAGACGCTGGCGGTGCTCCGATGCGTGCGGGTTTGCAGATGCGAGTTTTGTCTCTGCAGGGATGCGATTTCTGCTTTCTACATTCCCAGTAGACCGTTAGTCTTAGAAGTCCCCGGTAGAGCCCTTCAGAACCATGTAGAGATAAAAGGTCAACTCACCAACTCCTCAATCTCCCCCACCTTCGCCTCCGCATCCTGCAACTTCACCTTCAACTCCGCAACATCCACACTAGCCTCCCGGAGATCCTCCAACTGCTCCTCCGTCTTCTTCCACCGTCCCTTCCCCTCCTCCAACTCCTTCTCCAACCGCTTATTATCCTTCTCCAGTTCCTCAATCCGCGTCGACTGCTTCCGATACACCTCCTGCACCGCCTCACCATCCGCACTTAATGGCGGCAATGAAGGCGACTTCAGCATCGCACTCGCCGCCGGCGACGGCGACCCACTGCTCCCCTGCGACACGGACCCCTTTCGGAACGACGATGACCGCATCTTCGACTGGATAGATAGAGAGGGCTGTCGACCGTGCGCTGACGCTCTTCCGGATGACTCGGGCTTCACGGCGGGTTGCGCGGGGGCTTCGGGACCAGGCGATGTGGGCGCGTCGGGCATAGGCTCGGTCTCTTCTTCTGCTGCTGCTGCTGCTGCTGCTGCTGCTGCGGGGGCTTCTATTTCTTTCTTCTCCTCCTGGGGTTGTTCTTGTTCCTTATCTTCGCTCGTCTCTGCTTTCTCCTCCGATGTGGTGGTTTCGGCGGGAGCTTCTGTCTTCGGTTCTGGCTCTGTCGCCTTCTCTGTCTGTGTCTCCTCTACCTGCGTCGCAGCACTAGCATCTTCCTCCCCTCCCTCCTTCTCTGTAGCCGGCGCAGGCGCAGGTTCCGGAGACGACGCCGCGGGCGCATCTTCCTTGGCTGGTTCTGAGGATTCAGCAGCAGCAGCAGCAGCAGCAGCGGGGGTGGTATCTTTGGAGGTATCGACGCTGGTGGCCTTCTTGTTCGCTTTCTTTTTCTGTTTTTGAAGCTGGGCTACCTATAAACTCATTCCATTAGTGATATGTTCGCGCTGCGCTTGAGTGTGCTGCCTTTATAGACAGGCAAAGGATAGGTACATGGGCCGGGGGTAGGTAGGTAGCTAATGTGCATTCATAAGGGATATGCGTACCCTTTTCTTCGCGGCAGCTAGCTTCTCAGCCTTGATGCGCTCTTCGTCATCCGCCATTGTGTGAGAATTGCGGAAATGCGCGTGCGGGGGAAGTGGAATGGGTAGTGTGTTCTGGAGGTTGCTTGTTGATGGATGATAGATGGTCTACTTGGTGATAGTCGGATCGGAGGACAGCTTTGGCCGCCGCGGTGCACGGACCAATCGGGGAGTACCAAGTCGCTGGTCTTCACTACTAATACTGTTTGATTACTGAATAGCTGGTCTGATCTATAAATAGCTATTTCTTCTGTCTACTCGTAGCGGATAAATGAAAAGAGTCAAAAGATCAATTTGTAATAAATACAGGAAGGAAACAGAAGAATGACAACGCCCGCCGTTGTGGAACCTGCCCTTGAGCGCCGCATCGATTTGCCGTGACGCAGCACGTCGTTCGTCGTCATCATCATCATTAGACCAACAGCCGTTCAATTACAATTAGGGGCTTTCCTTCCCTTCCTTCCGGTTGCCGAGTATAACGCCCCTAGCCGGTGCAAATGCAGGTTGAATGCAGCAGACAAGAACACAATTACGCCGAGCAATCAAACCAAACGAGAACAAGCAACTGAACAAACGGCCAATGGCAACAAGAAGGGCCGGGTTGGTTGAAATGGAAGAATAAACAGGTAAGGCAGAAGGGAGGGGAGGATTAGACCTCCATCGAGTCGGCGATTTCCTCGCTCATGGCCCGAACGGTGCCCTTGCTGCCCGATCGGGAGCGAAACTCCTCATCGCTGAGCAGGTAGTGGTCGTATTCGTCCACGACTGGATGCGCCGGTTTCGACCCACTGGCTTCCTCGTCGCTTTCGCTCTCGAGTTCAATACCCTCGCCCAGCCAGTAGCGGGCCCGCTTGCTCGAGCCAAGTTCCGGTGTCAAGTATCCGTCGTCATACGTTCTCTTCGTTGTCGGCGTGGCAAGTCCCTCGCTGGGCGTGTGGCTGAGGATTGGGATCGCTCGTAGATACAGATAACAGACGCGTTTCCGTAGTCGGTTGAAGAAGAAGTAGTGAAGACTCCAGATTGCTCCATCGTCCGCATCCGACGGATCCTCATCCGGCGAAAACGAATATAGGGAGCACTCCTTGAGAGACATATGTTCATCGATCACCCTCCACATTCTCGGCCCCCACGTAGAAGACGCGCCCGCATTGTAGGAACCCGATATCGTCACGGGGGATGGAGGTGTCAGATCAATGGCCTCGCGTGGCCGAAGATTGAACAATGTTGAATCGATCGTGTTCATAACCCTTTTCAGATTCCGTTCACGATGAAAGTCTGATGGGCGCAGCACATGGGAGAAGTCATAGTCCGGATGACTGGCATTTAATGTCGCGATCAAATAGGCAAATGTTCGTCGACTGGAGTGGTCGCTCAGGGGACCGAAAGGACTCGACCGGGACAGGTTGAGCGAGGCGGCCGCGTCCGATGCGTTGGGAGGTGAAAGCGAAGCTGACAGACGGAGAACCGATTCATATTGAGACTCAAGCGACTGTTCAATGTTCTTGTACAGTTTCCGATCGGCTCGAGCAGCCTTGGTAGTGTACAGATCGCATCCCCCAACAATGTGACAATCGGCAGTGTCGAAATTGAGAGAACTCGTCACGTCTTCGAACTCGGGCAAAGGAAGAAACTAGAAAAGAAAAGGCACGGTAAGTATCAGGCCACTCTAGGGGAGGCTGCAGCGGCGCAATAGGGCTAGATTGCATACCTTCATCTTCAGCCAGAGTTGCGGTGTAGCAGTCGCTGATTACGATAAGGCGTGATGATAGATAAGCGGAGAACACCGTGGTCGGTGATCAAGACTCAAGGTGATGCGACAAGTAGATCAGAGCAATTGTCGCAGCAGTTGGGTTCAAATAAACCGGGGCCGTTGTCTCCTGAGACGTCACGAATCGGGCGATAAGAGTGAATGAGCTGGCGAGTGGAACCGTTGCTACGGTGGCAGCACAGGAGCGAAGAATGGGTGAGTTAATAGGTGAGTATGGAGAGCCAAGTCGCCATATCAGATGCAGATGAGACGGAAGGAGATGGAAGAAGACTCAGGGAAGGAATGGGAGATGGACAGCGCGATAGAGCGACGACTGGTCTTGGGGGGGATGGGGGATGCGCGCTGCGCCCCGAGGGGGGAGCCCCCAGTCACGTGGCGCAGGTCGGGCCAGTGATATCACGCACCCACCTCACGGGTTGCGCACTGAACCAAGGATGGCCAACCAGCCCAGATAATGAGGCAAAGTGCGGAATCATCCATTATTCTCCCGGATGATCCGTCCATTCTGTGAATCCCCTCACAGGAGCCCTTCCTTGGCTAAATGATTGACGACTTCCTTGGAATCCTGAATGTAGTCATGGTGGTATTAATTAGTTCTTGGCAACAAGTCGCGAGACAGTAGAACACAACGCTTATGTACGTCCAACGCCAGTATGTATAGCAGTCCAGCTTGCCCCAGAAACAGAAACGAACATCCCAAACAGTATAAACAACAAAGAAACGCTCGCGGGCCGGAGAGGCGTCTACATAATCTTCGTGACCACGTCTTCCTCAACCTGAGGCGGCATTAGCTGACGTCGACAGAAGATGATGGTATGGCTCGCTGAGATGAAGTAATTGGTTGAGGGGGCAGGGCGGAAGGAACGATGTTGTGGGGAGGGGGACAATGAGGTTGCCGCAGGAATTGATCATGATGTCGGGACCTCGCAGGTATAAAAAGGGGCGGGCCGGAAAAAGAAACGTAGCAATTGGACGCTCCGAAGACAGGTATTCCGTGCTCATGTTCCAAGTAGGGGGGCTGGGTGTTGTGAAGCAATAGACGCTATCGACTCACCTCCATGTCTTCCAGACTGTCCTGCTGGCTGATGCATCTCAACACATTCTTCTTGCTGCTCTCCTGCATTTCTCCCGCCAGCAACAGCTCATCGAGGATGAAGTATGCCTTTTGGAAGTTGAAGATAATATCCAGCTCGCACACATTGCCGTAGTACTTGTCCATCTGCTCGACGTAACGATGCACGACCTCGAGGGTGATCAATTCGTTATCGGTGGATGCACAACCGGCGATGAAGAAGAGGGAGGCATAGCGACGGTAGACGACCTTGGTGTCTGGCGACGACGAAGAAGCAAGTCAGATCCAGTCCGATCGGGCGAGTGGGCGAGCTGCGGGGGAGGTATCCAAGTGAGGGGTGAAAATGATTCGGACGAACCTTTGTATTCGAGGAAATTGCACATGCGGGTGCGACGCGACAGAACCAGCTGGGTCACATCCTTGATGATCTTGGCCTTCTCCTTGGGGGAGAGAGTGGTGAACCATTTGGCAAGGCGCTGGGAAATTTTGTTTTGTTAGTCTCCGCTTCCAGCCAGGTCACAGAGTTGGGTGGGCCACGAAACGAACCACTTTGCCCTGCCTCGACAGAAGAATCAAGTAGCTGGGGGAATGAGAGGTTAGCGCATTTCCGGCCAATTCAGTAGCCGATGAGAGACTCACTGGATTGCCATTGTGCGAAAGATAGTTGATAGTGGGGATGGGGAAAAGGGGGGGTAGAGAGGTAGAAAGGCCACGAGGGAAGTTGTGGGAGGAAGAGGGAGAGCCGGCCGAGCTCTGGAGAAATTCTTTGCACGGGCCGCCCTGGTGTTGTTGCCCCGCCGTCTTCACTGCCTTTTCCTCTCGTTTATCTACTCGGTATGTGCTATACAAATTGATCATGGAGAGGTAGAGATTGATCAGATAATTTATTGAATGGGGGAAGAGTCTTTAACTCCATAATAGGCTTTCAAGAAATTGAAGTGCATCAACCATTTTGACCACCACATCCGATGAGGGACTCCAAACAACCCGTCAGCAAGCTCCTGTGTATTCAAGTACTTCAGCCTCGCAACAAAAAAACGAGTCATTGATGCTCGTAGAGAGGCAATAATGCCGAAACTGAGAAAGCTATTCTAGTCCAAGGGCTATTTCATCGAGAGAGACATTCTCTTGATAAGGGTAGGTATCCAGGAACAGTAGTCAGCGATATGGACACCTTCGGGGCATGATAGTTCTCAGCGTAACTTACTGTAGAGGATTGACTAGAAGGTAGATAGACACTAAAGGATGCTCATGGCAAGATGTGCTCAGTATCTCAGCATACCCTAGTAGTGTGGTAATCACATCCAGTAATATTGGATAGTAACTGGCAGTTCCCAGTTTCCTTGAAGGAAAGTATAGTAGTACTACTGTCACTATCTACTACTCCGTAGCAAACAATGCTAGCATATATTTCAGCCTCACCTTAATCCACCAATACACTTTCTACCCTAACTGGCATCTACTATCTATCTACTACTACCTACCACTAATTCCATTCCATAACCATAACCATAACCACCGCACCATAGTATAGCACACTCCCCGAAATCCTGCACAATTCGAACAAAGAAACATGTACTCACCCCACGAAGGGAAAAAGCAATCCTGCAACATTCCCAAACCAGGCATGTCACACAATAACGACCAAGTCAAGCAAGCAAGAAAGATAAAAAGAAAGAAACAAAGAAAGGAAAAAATGACTCCACTCGGCCCGACCCATCAGTCATTCAGGCCAACTGGCAGCTGTCAGTCAGATCACACACTACACTATCACGATCATGATCACAGCGAAACTTCTCTTTGTCTGGTGGTGGTTGTTGTTGAGTATCCACTTCTATCCTCGCCCTAAAGTCTACTACTATTCACCACTACTAAATTATCTGCAAGTCGCATAGTTCAGACACACACACATACGCAACACACGGAACAAAATACCGAAAGAGAAACAGAGAGGGAAAAAGAAAAAAGAAATTAAAAGGAAAAGAATGGGACCATATCTGTACGCGTCCCAAGACAGTAATCAATTGATCCCTCCGACATGATCTTCTTTGTCAGGGATATCCTGGACGGGGAATATGGACTAGAAATGGGTCCCGAGATGAAAAAAACCCAATCAATATGAAAGTGACACGTTTTCTGGCTCTGGCCGCCCCCATAATTATTGTGACTTGAACTTGGGAAACTTGACAGGGGATATCCAAGTACTTGCAAAGTAACTGACTTGCCATAAGGAGATACATACATGATATTGTAGATATGACTGAAGGAAGTAAGTCAGTGCCGAGAGTTTTCCGCCGTGTAATACAGGATATGAACTGACAAAAATAAATAATAAAAATAAAGGAAAAAAGTGGAAATACGTCTGAATTAAGTCAACACTCAACTTGGCACATCCTATACCTGTTACTATCTCCAACTCATTCCCCTTTGTCCGAATCATACTGTTATCGGTTATCTCGTGCATGAATCATTACCCATCATCACCCATCTATACTACTCCGCTATGTACTAGTAAATCCTTTGTTTCCACATCCGTCTACAATGAACCCCGGTAGCCACCCAAATCATCCATGCTAACCTGTGACTTACTTAGCAGTATACTAGTAGTATGATAGTAAGCCTCATACTCTCTAAACTTTGAGATCAATCACACCCCCTCCCCCCACTCAACAAAGCAACAAGGTTCATCCCATCTTATCATCATCATCATAATCATCCCATCAACCAGACTACCATCCACACCGCACGAATCACAACACCTCCAACCTTCCCACACACCACCTCCATGAACACTTCCACACCAAAAAGAGAATACGACATTAAGGAAAAAAGGAAAAAGCGAGGATCACCAATGCGCCACACACAGCCACCATAACTCAATCGTGCGGGCGGCAGATTAGGGCCACCCACCACCGAGTCTCCGGGAATAGTACTAGTTCGTAACTAAATCGTAGTTCATCTCGGCAACGATTGTAGCCGGGAAAGAAAGGAAAATTGAAGCCTCCACCCGAGACTAACTAGTAAACAAATGGACGAATGGATGGATGAAAGGAAGAAAGAATTAAGATTCAAGACTTAGTATTTACATATGTACTATCCAAGATAGGCAACACCTCCGATAAGTATAGTTAGGTAGATACTTTGTAGTAGTATGTAAGTTAGGTACTTAGTGAACCTACTTACTTCCATACGGCATAGAACTGATGAAACGAAGTACATCGTACTTTGGGGACAGAATAATCCAACAAGGAGATTGCCACAGACAGACCGATAAACAAAGTGGAGACAGACGAGATGATGAAGAGTACCGGTGTAGAGAGTATAGTACTTTGTCAACATAGTACTATATGATATCAACCTTATTCCGGGAGTCGGTGACAGATGCATTCACTGAATAATAGGACTGAAATTGAGGCGAAGTCAGTCGTAGTACTTCTTGCTCGGCAAGGTAGTAAGTAGCATCATCATCATCATCATCATAATCACTCCGGAAGGAATCTCCGACTAGCCCTCAGATTGTACTTTTTCTTTGGGCGGATGTGAGAGAGACAAAAGACACCAGAAACAGGAACAGAAACAGACACAAAACCACGCAAAACAGCAGCAGCAGCAGCAGCACGAGGGTGATTAAGTTTCCGAGTGGATCGGGCCTTCTTTAGCGCGCCTCATTTCCCTCGAGGAAGAAACCAAACCAAGTAAAGTAAGTACCAAATAGACCGGTGGGTAGTAGTAGTATCTTTCGTAAACGATGGGGATGGTGGAAAAATACGTAGTCCGTAGTACGTATCCATCGGGCACAACCAGGATGATGGAATTGATACATCGTCTTTTTCTTTTTTGATTTTAATCTCGGAAGCGGAAGAGATGGCGATTTACCGGAGGAATTGTAGACTTGCTTTTTCCTTCTTCCTCCCATCTAATTTCTTTTTTTTTTCTCGCTTCAGTCTGACGAAAACCGGGAAGCGCTGAAGGACCGGCGCATAGTCTCGATTTTTGCTTTTTCTTGTCCTTTTTGGAGCAGAGACGACATCGAAAGGATCTACCGCCAAATGCAAGTAGCAGGGATCTTACATCACGGATTTTCTCTTAGCGCAATCCTTAGCTTTGGGCCAGCGATCAATCAATCAATCATTCAGTAACTTTAGTAGGTAGTCAGTAAGTACTAGTTTTGGCCTAAAGTATCTAAATAGGTATTTCTCCTGCCCTGTTGAGGGCACGGTCGTGTGCCGGTCAAGGGTTCCTTTGTTGGGAGTTTCGACTTGGCCAGTTTGGTCACCTGCCTTGATTAAATCCCTGCGAATCACACGGTAGCTTCGCTTTTACCACTCATACTAACCGTTTCGTTACATGTAGGACACTCAATAGAGGAATGAACCGGGGTATATACCATACGCATAGTTAATTCTATTATTGTTGTTGTTCTCATAAATGTCAAAATCAACATAGTCATAGTCAAATCATCTCGCATGAACCCGTCATCACCGTCCAGCATGTTATGCATGCGCCTTGTAATACCTATGCACCCCCTGCATGACTCCGAGCGCACCTCCCACTATCACCACTCCAGAAACACCAAGTATCACGAGAAGCACCATCTCAAAGAAGCCCACTCCCAGGCATTTCATGGGAATCGTCCACACCGGGTGAGAAATCCAGGAAGCCTTTGTCGTAGCCGCATCGCCACCCCGGTATGCTTCTTTCCCTGTCTGCTTCCCGATTCGGGGCACGTATCTGAACTCGAAACGAGTGCGCGACTTTCGCTGGACCACTCCACCATACAGCAAACTTCGGAACCCCTGTACAGAGTCAGTAACCGTGCACACTGATCAAGATAAGATTCCACCTTACAGCAATCAGTAGTTCATCCAGACTGAGAAATAGCCGCTGGACCCACGCCATAGCTACCACTAGTGCACAATACCCACAAAACGCCAGATAGAACAAGAGTCCTGGTTTGCCAAGTTTCAGTTCATCACACAGCTCGTCGCCATTGATCCACCGACTGCCCGCTTCGATGAATCCCTTGGAGACCTTGAATGGCCCTGGCAAGTTCGTCACGCATTCCACAAAATTAAACGCCACCGTTCGCGACGTATCAGTGGTACGGAGTTCGTGCGCCAGAAGGCTTTCCATAGTGCACTTACTCCGCTCCACAGTTTCAAAATACGATGTGGGCGTTCCAAGGAGAAAGCCCAGGTACCGAAAGAGCGCAATATAGTCCTTGACCTCATCCGGAGTAGGCTGGATGCCAAACTTGGGTAGTTGAAGCCACATAGGATTGCAACAAAAGGTGCTGATGGAGTGGACCGAGTCCAGGGTATTCACCGGTACTCCAAAGCGTGCCAGATCAAAGTAGTCCGGCCTGATTCGACAGAGCTGAACGATGCGTTGGCGGACGGAGGCATGGAGCAATCTGACCCGGACGCTGGCAATGTGTCCTTCGCCGCCGGGGCGAATTGATTCAATACAATGGGTGACTTGGATCAGCCACTGGAAGGTCTCGAGCAATCTGCCCAGAAGCATACGGGTGGAGAAGCCTCCTGTTCGGACAAGGACCTCGACAACCCCAGGTGCCGCCTGATGAGCATCATTAGCTTCCTCGTCTCTTGCCTATAGTTGTGCAATTAAGAACATACCGAGTTTTCCGCCACAAACCCTTGCAAAGCGAACCCCACAATATTGGCAATGGCATAGCGATAGAAGAATTGCTGGCCGCGTTGTAGCTGCTCCCAATCCACCCACTCAGGCACAGTATTCACTTCGGTCCAGAACTTGGCCAGGATATCGTCATCCCCCCGGTGATCCCGCAAGAGGACGTAAAGATCACTAGGTGGTGCGCTTGTCCCCTTTGTTTTGCTTTCCTCCATCAGAGTAGCCCGAATTGCTTGTAGCCTCTCCAGCGCGTTAGCCGCAGAGCTATCATACTGCTGGCGCAATGGCTCTAACTCTTCCTTGGAGAGATGGTCTTTTGTCCAGCAGAAGGAGTAGCCCCAGCTACTGATTCTGTCACCAACCTGTGGGTGTAGAGAGGAGACCATATTGAAGAATCAACGAGCAATGCTTGCAAATATTGAGTGCAATTAGGTGTCTAATAGGCCAATGCCTAGAAATTGATAGTCGGCCCATTGCGCCTTTCACCCGCATTTTATACCGCAATCCAAGGATACCAAGCCAGGAATCGACAAACTATAGAGGTCATGGAGCTGAGCGACAACAGTGGCCACTCCATGTACCGGGCCTGCCTTCCGCCAGTGTTACCTGACAAAAGCAATTGGTTCTGGGCCACCCCTCACGTTCACCCATCCTTTTGGGACATGATGTTTAGTGAAAGCTACTAACGACGCATCGTGCTCCGGGCGGATGTTCGAGCCCAGTCCCGTGGATGCGAGGCGAGACACCTCGTGGGACCCCAGCAGAGTAGCCCAATGGTATGATCACGATCAGATGTGCTCGTTCCCACCATGGCCAGACCGGTAATCAATGGAAAGGCCGGCGAGAGATCAAGGGCAAGGGAAAAAGCAACAAGCTGTACCAGCTCTCGGACCTGGAGGCGCTAATCAATGTTCTTGGGCCCCGTTGTCATGATGCCCAATCGTCCTAGCATGCAGGTTAGCCAATCTCCCGGGAGAGGTTTCCAAGAATAAGATGGGGAGACCGTGCTAAATCCCGGAAACCGGGGAGAGATCCGGCTTCCGGGCCGATCAAAAGTCAAGATCCTGAGGCCCCAAATGGGTGCTCTAGACGTATTCGGGCAGGGATCATCGAACTCATACCGCGCTTTGGTGGACGACTGACCATTGCTCTTGAGAAGCCTTCAGCTCCGGCGGCGGAGAAACCCAAGGCACTAGCTCCTCGGGCTGAGTAGCGCTAGACTTTTGCAGACCTAAATTGATGTATAACAGAGGCCATTATTTTTTTTCTAACTTCCGGGTTTTGCATGTTATCAATTGGAAACCTTAATCCTTTTGTTTGGCGCCATTGAAATTCGATTACCGGGAAACGATATTCTGAGGCTGGACGATCCTGTGGGCCCAGGCCGTCACCAAAGCCCGAAGTCTGGGCCTTGAACAGGGAGGTCAGTTGTAGGATCATCCTGGCCATTCGTACGGTTCCAAAAGTAGGTCGTAGAATTCGTCTGTATATAAAGTACCATGCACTGGCACCTGTAGACGTGCTGTCCAGATTCACATCGCTTTCATAGAAACAGCGATCGCTTCATTGTTTGCCTCCATATTGCGTCTAAATCATCACCGTTCGTGTCAGTTGAACATGGCCGTCACAAGAGTCCAGCAGAGTGTATCTTCGCCAATGGTCAAGACACCCCGGCGAGATACTTCTCTGTCCATCCGCCTCCCCGAAATGTTCGTGTTGTTCTTGTCAGGCGAACCAACAGTAAACCGACACTATAAGTGTGTGAAAGAGCTGTCAGAAGCATGGATCTCAAGGTGCATATGACCCCCCAAAGTCCGCATGACCTTTCTCTAACTAGACTACCGTCATTATAGAGAATGTTACTTCGATGAAAGAGCCCAGAGGCGACTACAAAAGACGGACTTCGCTTATTTCTGCTCCATAGCAGCCCCAGATGCTGAGCCCGAGGAGTTGCGGACAGTTATCGATTGGGGAAACTGGGTGCGTTCATTGCCCATGACCGACACCACACAAAGGTCCACTGACTAAATCTAACCGATGTTGTCGAGCAGGTGTTCCCTTTTGATGACCGTAAGCACCGTCCTTTCGGAATGACTGTGTATGATAGCTGAGCTTTGATGTTAGTCTTCGATAATGGAAGCCTCAAGGATGACCCGGAACGGGCCCAAGTGCTTGTTGAGGATTTGCGAGCAGGCATGGCCGACGAAACTGGGCAGAGACCAGTGCTCTCAGACTACCCCATAGTACAGGTGCACAACTCAGTATGGCATCGAGTCACTCAGGTACGTTGATCATTATACTGTCCTGGGAGTGCTCATTGACGTCTAACGGTATTGTAGGCCCAACCTATCGGTATGTAGCGCTTAGTTCTTCCACATACTCTAGACCATCTGCTAACGTTGTCTAAGGAATTCGCCGCAGGTTTGCACGTGCCATGAATGACTACTGCACTGGATGCTTGGCCCAAGTACGCTCATGCTCCAAGGGGGAATTGCCCTCGCTTGAAGAGATGCTCTCGTTGCGCAGACAGTCTGCAGGCGTTTCGCCCCTCTTCGCCTTAGTAGAGTATGTTATCACTTCTGCTGGCCTGCAATCGGCACTAACTCCAGGGATATTGCAGATATGCCCACAAACTAGACATCCCAGAACATGTTTTTGAATGCAAGAGCATCCAGGAGATAGAGAGGATCGGTACTGACCTTGTGTTACTGTATGCCGCCCCAAACCCCCACATCTGACCGAACTAATATATCCCAGGCAAAATGACATACTTTCATACTGCAAGGAAGAGGTTAGTTTTCTACCTGCCAATACAAGCTCGATCACGCACGACTCACAAAGGGATACAGAAAGAAGGTGTAAGCCATAACTTAGTGGCCATCTGCCGTCATAATGGCATGCCAGCGCAGGTGGCATTTAACCATGTGGGCGAAATGCTCATTGAGCGCTACCGAGACTGGTACCTCGCTTTGGCGGCACTGCCAACCTGGGGGGAGCGGATCGACGCAGACGTTCAAGAATATATCCGAGGCGTGCAGAATGTCGTTCGCGCCAATCTTCATTGGAGGTAGGTGTTGAGAAGTGATCATTGTTACCCAGGAGACTCATGATAATTCTGTAGCTTCCGATCGGGTCGATACTTTGGGAAAGCAAACGACCAAGTCCGGAAGAGCGGAATCGTGACGGTACGAAGCAATAACGCTGACTTTAAGCTGTCCATGACGTAGACAGCGGCTATTCTTTGATCAAATCCGTGTTTTCAAGGTGTTTGTGCGTTTTCTGGTGACAATTTCCTTATTCCCCAGGTGATCCAATGGCGTTTGTCTAGTATGTTGCGGGTAATTTGTTTTCAGCGTGGGTACTCAATATGGACATCAGGATAGCATTGGCGATAATTCAGCCATTAATGAAGAAGAATCAACGAGCTATAATTCGAAAAAGCTTCAATATAGTAAATAATTGCACAGTTTCATATGTTGCTGTGGAGAGAGGAAAGGCAGAGAGAAGCAAGAGGTTGCTCGAGGTTGCACGGTGCCGGTCACGTTGTCAGCGGGTTTACCTGATTTGGCAGGATGGTGCAACGACAATCACTCTATTACTGTCATCTGATGCTTGGAGATTATTTCTGCACTATTGAAATTCCAATTCCCAATTATGTTGCTATTTGTCTTCCAAGGTGTGCGTATGAGCTTTGCACATATTGTGCTGCCCGTCATATTATCGGATATTGAAATGAGAGACAACTCAATATGCGACCTTCTGTTGAATTCACATATATTCAAAGATTTAGCCTCAAAGGTATATGAGCGAAGTGAGAATAAGTTCATTCAAGAAGCAGTGCCCGTACTCATAAGTGCTAACTTGCTAGTAGCGAGTGATATATATAAACCTATCTTGCTAGTTCTGCTCAGCATCAGGAATACACAATATGCTTGTCTTCCGCCTCATGTCTACGCTTACGGATATTGAACACACAGTCAAACCCTTGATATTGGGTAATTCTGAAAAGGATGAGCTCCCCTCTCCCAGTCTGCTCCCGGTGTCTCTGATGCCCTCGAGCATCTTCCGCCGTAGCCCATACCGGCAGGCACTACCATAAGATTTATACTCGTAGCGTCATCACGCCCTGGACATCTGCTGATCATACAATTGCCGAAAAAGCGAGCCCGATGTTTCCAAAAGCTTACTAGGTGTGCCATATTCAACCATCTTACCTCCATCAATGACAGCAATCTGATCGTAATCAAGAAGGGTAGAATTCCTATGCGCAATTGCAATAATAGCGCAGCCTGCAAACTCAGTGCGGATTACCTCTTGCATCAAGGAATCTGTCCCATTATCCACACGACTTGTGACCTCGTCCAGCAGCAAGATCTTTCTCTTCTTAACAATAGCTCGAGCGAGGCAAATGAGCTGTCGCTGACCGGCTGATAAGGGGAGTTGATCGATCTTAGCATCGAGTCCCCCGGAGTTCTGGACATGCTCGTACAGTTGCACTTTTTGTAGTGCATTGATAACATTTTCATCATACATGGGGCTGAACCCAGTGATATTGTCACGGATAGTGCCCCGGAAGAGGACGGGCTCTTGAGGTATCACTGTAACCTGATTGCGGATGAAGTCACGAGGGCATGACTGTAGACTCACGGCATCAATACTAATATCACCACTTTGTATCTCAACCATGCGAAGAATGGTAAGAAGTAGAGAGCTTTTACCACTTCCAGAACGCCCGCATACCCCTAGCTTGGAACCAGCAGGGACGGTCAATGTTAGTTGTTGAAGAATAGGCGGAGAGTCCAGCTCGTAGCCTACGCTGACATTTTGGAAAGCTATGTGGCCGGCTGATGGCCAATCAGCACGAGGAACTGCTTCCTCTCCAGGAAGATCCTCTGAAGGAACCTTTTGAAAACTGCGGATACGTGTGACTGCACCAATACTGGTCTCCATGGATGTCCAGAAATTGATCAATTCCGACAGCTGCTGGCTGAATGTGATTAGAGAGATAAGCGAAACACCTATCGGCCAATCTCGCGCACAAAGACAGCGAGTATTACTAGCAAGATTGCAATACCGGCAACACAAAGATCCAGAACAAGAATAAGCCAACGCTGTATGACAAACAGCATATAGTAGGGCCGTTGCGATCTTTGGAGCAATTCTTGGTGCTCTTCACGGAAGCTGTCTTGCCAGCCAAACGCGCGTATGGTGACAAGTCCATTTAGCGTCTCGGTAAACTGGGTGTACAGTGGTGACTTGCTCTCAAGATCCAGATGGCGAAGTTGTCGTGATGTTCGGAGGTAGAACTTCTGGATCGAGTAAACCACAATGGCTGATAGGGGGATCAGAGGAGCCATATATTTAGTACTAACGCAGATGAATACAGCGCTCATTGAGCATTGTGTGAAGTTCCGCGATGTTTTAAGAAAGTCAGCAGGAAGTGATCGGTCAATTAGAGTCATGTCCTGACTGAAGCGATTCAGGGTGATACCGCTGTCTGTGGAGGTGAGCCAATGCAAAGGAGCCTTGTTAACCTTCATCACCAGATATTCATGGAGCCTGTTGGAGGACGTCGGGACAATGCGGCAAAAGACCAGCCACATGCACCATGCCCACAGTGCAGCTCCTACAGCGGCCAGAACAGCATATACGCTGATATAAAGGGCAAGCCTTCCGAACGGCGTCCGAGCATTTTCTTCTCCCCACCATTGGACCCAAAGATCTTCGCTTCCTTATCAGTGAAAGTAGACAATGGAGGCAGATAGACTTACTGGGAAATTGAGAGCAAAAGTCTCCTATAATTAAGGATACAAAATAGATTGATACATGCCAAGGGCCGGCAGCTCGGAGGTAGTATGCATATATGCTCAGGTCGCCTGTCTTCCTGTTCATATCGTCAGCATCTGAAGACACAATGCCTGGAGCTGCCTGATTTGGCAATGCTACTTGGCGCTCGTCGGTTGAGTGCGAAGTGGCTGCTGATCCATCCGATGGTTGTTGTGATTGGAGCAATTGCGGAGGACCCTGTTCCGTAATCACTCCGTTTTGAAGCAAGACAGCATTATCAGCAAAGGCAAGAAGTTTCTGGTCATGAGTGGCTAAGATAGCAGCAACTCCATGACGGCGCAAGATGCCCTGTGTCCCAAAAACGCGCTGAAAGACTTGCCCTGAAGTTTTCGCATCTAGAGCACTTAAGACGTCATCGAAAAGAGCTAGCTGCTTGCGTGCATAGATAGCACGGGCAATAGCAATCCGTTGCCTTTGTCCGCCACTAGTTGCCATACCATTACTGCCAATGGCTGTGTGATCTTTGAGGGCAAAGCTCTCGATGTCTTGGTCAAGCGCAGTGGAATAGAGCACTGTTCGGTACCATTGCTCATCAAAAGGCAAGGGTTGGCAAATGTTATCACAGATGGATCCATTGCGAATCCAGACCTTGGTACTACAGAAAGATATTTCGCAAACATTGCTGTAAATGAAGCCCTTCATGCAGGGAAACCTCGCCGAGAATCGCTTGAAGCAAAGTGCTCTTTCCTGATCCAACGGCCCCAGTAATTATGGTAAGCGATGAAGGAGGAAATTTCAGCTCGATGTTCAACAATGTAGCTGGCAAATTCCGATCCCAACCAAAATCAGCCTGGTGTATATGCAGCAAGTCCGACTCAGCTGCGACAGAACCGTGCAGAAGTCCTCGATCCGATGGGTTTGGAGGCTGAAGCTCAATGGACACTGTCCCCTCAGCGTTGATTTCAGCCCAATTTCCATGCTTGGGAAATTTATGATGGCCTTGCGATATAACTCGATCATCAAGCCTGGGGCTTGCCAGCAAGTAAGCTTGGATCCTCTGAAAGCATTCCAAGGCTGCACTAGCTTTTGGGCCGGAATAGACCAGGTTTGACAAAGGACCGCTCAATAGAGAAATTATTGACAGAGATGAGAACGTTTGAGCCACTGTTAATGGACTTCGTCCGGTATGGAGTGCAACACCAGTAAAAAGGCTGAGTGTGAGAACAGGGCTGAGGTTGGTTGTTGTGCCCGCTAAAAACAAAACTAGTCTCATGAATTCAATCTGGCAAAATATTCGCACTCAGACTGAACTTACCGAGCAAATTCATTTTCACCATCAGGTGGCGAAATATCGACTGTCGATCAAGCTCGTCAATGCGGAGTTGCTGTAGCATTCTAGAGAAATGATCCTGAAGGCCAAGCATCTTGATAGTTAAACTCGCATCGAGATAACTCGAAGCAAATGCAACTCTTTCACGGACAGCCTGCATCCATACCTTCTGCCTTCCCGGTGCAGACTTCGACAAGAAATGAGTGCAACAGAAGACCAGGATAGAAAGAACGGCAGGAACTGTAGCAGCCCAAGCTACCTGACGCTGCAGCAGGTATAGTGCAATGCCCACTTCTATGGGACTCGCCCAGACCTCATGCACATTCTGGATGCCCGATGCAATGTTATCTATATCATTACTCATTAGAGTCAGCGCTGCCGAGTCAGTGTACTCGTCGTATTTCAGCTCGAGTGTCTTATCATAGATGACAGATACGAGAGCACCGCGTATTTGCGTTATGAGGCGAAATATATAGTGCTCGTAAAGACAGTTCATGACCTGCGGGGATATCAGAATATAATCTTAGAAGATTTTAGAAGACGGAGTAAATTGCATACTCCTTTCAGTATAAATACCAGCGCAAACGCACCAATCAGGCCATACCCATCGTCTTTACTAGGATTTTTCTGGCCAACATAAATGGTTAATCTGGATATCAAGAAAGGTTGCGTATAATCCAGCCCAATTCTCATCAGCCTCGACAGGAAAGAGTAGAAGACCGAAGCTCTGAATGTGCGGACAGCGCAATAGGCTAATGCATTTTTATACGTTTTCGGCACTGAAACTGGTCAGCGAACTCCAGAAATTCAACCTTGGCTGCTACTTACTCGAAGACCATTGGGTGGAAAACTTCCGATGTAATTCGTTCGCAGAAAGAGCTCGATCAAGGTACGGCAGTTCCTCGACAGATATTGTCTGCTTGAACCCGAGCAGAAGCAGAGGATTAACCCATCAAAAGAAGGCTCGGTTATAAAAGCCTTTGGTTTCCTCATCGCCATATTGCATATTTTTGTTGACGAAATAGGCCAGTTTTGGCTTCGTCTCCAGAAAGAACCAGAGCAGCTTGACTGCAATGCTCGCTATATAGAGAGCGGCAAGCACAGTATATGAGGACAGCCACAGACTCCTTGCACGTACGGCATCAAAGACAATTGTCCATGATAGGAAAAGATTCAGAAGTGAAGAGGGCTGCACAGAATATAGGTGCTCCAGATGTGATAGGAACAGTAGGCCAACAGATGTGATGAAGGTCAGAACCGCAGCTACCAGGGATGTCTGTGTTCGTGGCGTGTGAGGGAGGAGCCATAAACCTAGAAGTAAAAATTGCAATGCACCAAAGGCTTGAGCCGAGACCTGCGCATAATTAGTTAGCGATAGCTCATTGGGTGGCATGACGCACGTACTAATTTAGCCCAGTATGCCCGGCTTTGAGAGACGATGGCCGTCCGATGTTTCCATAGCTGTTTGTAGCGCAATGGAAGCACAATTAGATGTAATGCCGAAGGAGGGATGGAGAAGAAGCACTCTTCAAACAGTAGGGTGAAGTCGAAGTCCCCTCGGCAGTGGAGCACTCGAGGACCGAATCGATTGGATTGTATGGTAGAAAGTTGAGGTTGGCGAGGGGGTGCTGAGATGGAGAGGAGGCTGAGTATCAAGTGGAAACGAAGCAGGCAGTACCTTTTAAGGAGCTAATCTCGCTGGTCTATCCGCCTCTTTAGGCGTGGATGGTGTTGCAAATCCAGCAATTAGAAGGCTGCGATAAGGTGACTCGGTGAAAAGACCCCTGTCGCAAGACTACTACTTAGTCCCCCCTCCAAACCCATTGATCCATGGGGTGGAGGTGACCTGGGTTCTAGACTGATTTTAGCCTCTAGCTACTCGTTCATGTCTGCCTGATACTCCCCTTGTAAGGCTGCTACGCACGATTAAACTTCACCGATCGTGATAGGAGACGCCTAATGGGTCTTTAAGCCGTCGGGGCTCCGTACAGCCAAATACCTGTATTGACTCCAACGATAACGCGTGGAGGACTCATATGGAAGCACGTCTTCTCGTAGGTAGTAGCAGTCATAGCAGTCATTATTGCACATAACCACCAAGTCAAGCAGTCTCATCCACATTATACACCAACTTACACCCCCTGACCTTACCTTCCCTCAAGAGTTTCAGACCTTCAATAACACCCTGCAAGCCGCCAGCCCCAAGCTGCACAGGATGAGGAACAACCTTGCCATCCGCCAACAACTTGGCCGCCTTTTCCAGCCACTCTGACGCAAAAGCCCGATCCTCTGGTTTCGCAGGGATACGCCCACCCCGAAACGTCAACTCCTCACCGAAAACCGTATACCCCAGCGTCCAGCGACTGCGCACATCCGCACGAGGCACCTTGCTGTCTATCATCGCCGTATAATCACCGCCCTGGGAGCTCATAGCCCGTCCACAAAATGCCGCCGTCTCGTCTGTCGAGATGGTATCCAGCACCAACTTCAGACGATCCTGCGTAACGTCGCGGATCTTATCAGCCGCCTCGGGATCCTTGTAGTCAAAGACATGGTCGGCACCACGGCTCTTCACTAGCTCCTCAGTCTCGGGCGAACACGTCGTAATCACCTCGTAGCCGGACAGCTTCGCAAACTGAATTGCCAGAGTCCCTGTGGCCGTCGCACCGCCGTAGACGAGAATCGGTTCCGGCTGGGCCAGAGGATGATCAAACGGTGCGAGCTGCAAGCTTTGGTACAGAGATTGAGCAATGGTGCCCATGCCGACACCTAGGGTTGCAGCTTCCTGGAAGCTGAGGTTTTCTGGTATGGCGCACTGCAGTTCACCTGGAGCGAGGACGTACTCGGAGAATGCTCCATTGTAGGGGAGATTGGGGTTGCAGCCGCGAATGACCCCAAAGACGCGATCACCGGCCCGAAAGGGTTTCGTGGCGGCAGGGCCAACGTCTTCTACAATGCCGGCGTAGTCACAGCCAACAGTGACGATGGGAGAGCTTCGAAGGGCGGTTTTCCAGTCAGTGGGGTTAAGCGCGACGCTCACCACTTTGACGAGGATGCAGTCATGACGGATGGTAGGCTTGGGCCAGTCGCTCACCACGGAGATAGTCTTGGGAGCAGTGACGGCAATGGCTTTGACCATGGTGGTAATATTTATGGAGAATAATGCACGGGGGCGGGGGAGATTATAGAATGGTTTTGTGTTTAAAAAGGCCCTAGAGAGAGCATGACAGATGATCGGGCCTTATGTATCTGTCGAGAGGGGAATATGGAAGTACTTGACTTCTCCGAATCAAATCATGCGGCGACTAGTGAGGAGCTGAAATGCAGCTTCCCGTGCCTCCGAAGTGACCTGCCAGGATTTCTAAGCTGCTCGATCTAATTGCTTCTTCTCCGGTCGGCATATGGCTTCACCTCAGAGCAGTACCCCGCATACCTGCGTCATTAAAAAGTTGTACGTTGTGGACAGGCATCTGACTTCACGTGATGACAGAAATAAATATCATCTGACATTTTGACAATATCCAACAGCCTCGACACATTGGATCGATCGGTATTACAAACTATCAAATACATATCAATAGAACACACAATTAGAATTACACACAGAACTCCTTCCCACCCCGATTATAATTATCCCCAGCCATAGTTCCTGGCCAAGTACTGCCAGGACCTTTTTTTTTCTTTAAGATTAGTAGTGAACGTGATGAGAATCGTTAGGTTGGTTTCATCAGTCAGAAATCAGCGCGCTGTGTCCACTTGCATCTCGTTGCATATTTGGTCCAGTAGCGCTTCATTATTCGTTTCTTTCCATCCCTGGGAGTGAGTGACATTCACTCCAAAAAACGTAATCTCAGCCCAGGCGGAGAAGCGGATATGGACCAGTGTTTAGACTTGAGCCATGCTGGGGCGAGTAACACCGCGAGCAGGACCGGTGCGTCCACGAAGGTTGACACTTGTCTGGCGGGACATGATGATCGACAGAATCATCGAGGCCGTGTAGCCAGCCCAGGCGAACCACAGGAATGCCGTCGAGGCCTGAGCCTCGCGGCAACGCTTCGTGCGGTTATGGGCACCATTGGTGATTTCGTTGTTGAGCGTGTAGGACTAGAGTAAGTATCCACAAGTCAGCGTTGCCCTAAGATTATAGTACTGTAGTGCATCATCTTTTGGGGAGTTCGCGGGACGAAAACTCCACTCTCCACTTTTTAGTGGATAGTTTCCCCGACTGATAAGGCAGAAAATCATGCACCTATACGTACATCGTTGCTGCAGCTGTGACATTCCAACTTCGCAGCCAGAGCAATGGCGGCTGTAAGGAACAGGATCGCATTGAGCGTGTCGATAGCGATCAAGAAGATTGGGTGGATGGCCCAGTCAATATTGATTGTCGCTGGGAATAGATAGAAAAGTGTAAACATCGAGAAAGCTGCAACAAACATGGTGTAGTTGATGGTCGATGGATTCCCGGCGAATGCTTCAGCGATCATGTTACCGATCAGGGCCATGACGAGCAGAGTCCAGAGGAACTGATGCCATTTTCAGCGTTAGTCCAGAATTTCCAACTGCGGCGCTTGCTTGCTTTGCAGGTCCAGCAAGAGCAGGTGCTCATGGCTCGAGAAAGATCGACATACCTCCCAGATCCGTAGACCGAGCTGGATAGCTTTGGCAACCATCTTGGTGGTGTGATTTGTATGTATTGAGTGATGGGTGGTGGTGATCGAGAGTTGACGGGGTGAAGCGCGCTTGGTGGGTTGTGCAGATTGTAGATTATCGATCTGAATCAGTAGATCCGGCACCGGGAAATTAATAAATCGGGACGAGAGACCATTAATTAGACGGAGTGATAATTATAAGAATAATCATCTCCAGTGCGGGATGATCGGGCAACACGAACGATGACGATATGCGCCGGTCTAGGGATCTGCTACGTCATGCGCCGGCCCGAATCATGAAATCACCACCACTGCTGCACCATTGAAGTTTTCCACCACAGAATCGTCCAGCAAGTGGAATGGAGCGGGACAGCGGTCTAGGTGTTTGTCTTTTATCACTGACTCGTAGTCCCCTTATGAACCCAAAGGTGCCCAGCCTGCCGCTGTTGGGCGCTTTTGCAGTCTGCTCCACGCATTCCCCGTTCACGTTGAAAAAGAAATGCCTAACACTATTTTCTATAGATTTCCCCTCAAGGCGATCAAACGCTTCATTTGATACATAGACAGCACCGCTCTGCAATCATCACTTCCGAGGTCATCCGAGCATGAAACATTAATGCCGTCACCCATGGGCGGAGCCAGTCAAGCTTGTGGTGGGATGCGATCCCCCATTAAGCTCTCCAACCAGTGGGCCTGCAAACTTTAAACGTTGTAGCTGAAAAGAGCTGGTCGCTTCTCGACTGGCCAGCATGATGCCCGACCATAGAGCTTGCTGGATTTCCATGAACCACACATGCAGCAAACAGAAGCCAACAGATCCTTGACCGGATGATCTGCTTTGTGCCGCAAGTGTAATTGTTCATTCTCTTCCGGCAGGTCATGAGAGGATCCCACCCACACCACGCCTCGGTCGAATAAGACTGTTCACAAATTCATTAAATAGATAGCAGTCACCCCATCACAGGGAAGGTGGAAGAAGCAAGAGAGCAAGCACATCTCCATATCCACCTTCCTATGACGGATAGCCCCCGGACTAGGCGCCGGTGGTACAACACCCACAACCAGGCAGCCCGAAGGCCCAGCCCAATCTAAAATCCGTCTGTGGCTGTTCCAAAGTCGATCATTGGGAATGCGTGCCGAATTTCCTGGCTCTGTGTACAAGGCTTCTGGTGTCTTATAAACTCAATTGGTGCCGATGTGATTGTAGGAGATGCTCTGGCACTTGATATATCTAGCATGTGGGCAGCAGTTGACATATGTTTCTCTGCTGAATGGTCAATCAATGTAATAGGGTGAATATGCTAGCCCGCAATATAGTACCCCAACGAGAAGCCATAGAGACGATCAACTTAAGCATTGATCAACAGGCTTGGCACACCAGTGCCGAAAGATCTTACATACCCACCTTCCTGCTGGTAGCCAATCTCATGATGATTGAAGCATCTGGTAATGTTCGTATAGCGGATAACACTGCCGATTATACATCGTATCCCTTTGATTCGCTTCCTCTTCTGCGCTATTGTGCTCGAGTTGCTCTTCCTGATATACAAGACGTATTCTGGACGTAAATCATCTGACACTGTTTAGCACTGAGCAAGAAGCAGCGTTTGAACACCTGACAGCCCAAGGTGTCTAACAAATGACGATTGACTTGCCAAGCCAATGAGAGAATTCCAAGCTAGACTTCAACACGAAGGACAGATTAAGTCCAATGTCGTCCCCAAATAACCATTACAACCACCCCTCTCCGACGTCTCCTACGAAAGTACACAGCTACACCCGGTCACCCTTGGAAGCAAGGAAGTAACTCACTGAGCAGATAACTCTACCCGGTTACGTTAATCGCATTCAGGCAGATGTATCCATACATCTTGGGAAACGACCAATCCTCACTTGAGGAAGTATCATCAACACCCCCGAGGGGAATGGATGATCAACACTTTAGACACAACAGATGCAGAAGGAACAACAGGATCCCCACTCACCCTTCATCTTCCCCATTCCGGAATAACCAAGCATCACACGTGAGCGTTCTTCAGACGCATAATTAGATTACTATCATCTAGTAGGGTGGTACAATGTCTATATATACAACACCACTGCATCACCCCTACTAACAAACACACTTCGAGCAGTGCACCATCCATCCTCGAACAATTGCATCTAAAGACAAACCAAACAGTCACATATCCACTATTCTACTGAATGCCATATATAACACAATGATGTTCCACAACGCACCTACTAGCCCACAACTCCTGCACACGTACCGAAACAGCCGGCAGCAGCAATCAAACTACCTAGGCTCTACTCAACCCATCCAATGAGCCTAGGCTCAATGCCCGAAAGTTAAGCTCTCAATTGCCGAATCATCTATCCCGCCTGAACTACTACTCGATTCGCCACTGTCATAAGACGACCGTCGTCCTAGTAAGTAGTAATCCAGGTGGATCCATACTTCACCAAAGCATGGAAATCCACTCAAGCAGGCTAAGAATGAATGGGTAGAGTCAAACGGTAAACCCGGCAAGGGAATACAGGATACAACCACCCCTACCAAAGAAAATAAAAAAAGAAAAAAAAAATATAGCAAAGGGGAGGAGGGAGGGGGGGATTTCCGTCCCACTTGGGTCGTGATGTCATCGCTGTCGACTCGGGAGAGATCCCCGGCAAAGCAAGCAAGCAAGCAAAACAAAAAAAATATTGAATGAAGGTACCGGGAAGGTGGATGGCAGTTACCACTGGATTAATCTTATAGGATATACGAGGAAGAACTATATATAGAGGCAGTGGTGGTGGTGGTAGTGGTGGTCAATAATATCTGTATTCATTCTTCTGCATAAACTGCGATTGAGATTCAAGTTGAAACCTAAACAAAATTCCATATCACAGTGATTGTCTCATTAACAGAACATAACTATCACCATCTCACCTCTCATTCCATCCCATATCCCACATCCACATCCAAAAGTATCCAAATCCAAATCCAAAACCATCATGTCAGTCGTTCCATCGCTGAAAGACACCCCGTTCGACACCGACATTCGCGACCGTCATTTGATATACGATTACGCGGCGCAGGACGCCCAAGGCAACCCCGAGAAATGGCGCTATGAAATGTGGTTTTATAACGAGGACCGCATCGTCTATGCCATCCATGGCGGTCCCATGGCCGGCCGGAAGAACTTTCAAACGGCCACGTACCAGTGCATTCGACCGGGCGAGCTCTGGCAGTGCAATTGGCTTGAGGAGACCGGTACCATATGTTCGCTGGTGTACGACATTCCGCGGAAGCGCATCACCACGTTGCTGGGCTTCTCCAAGGGACATTGGGAGGAAGCGAAGGCGGCTCACGGCGACAAGCGGAATGCGAAGGATCTGGAAAGATGGAGGGGGTTGGCCACGATTGGCAAGCAGACGGATCGGAAGCTCCTGAGCGAACAAGCAGACATCCTCGAGGATTTCCGAGGCCCTGGTGATTTGGAGCCGATTGACATGGAATGGCCGACATTATAGGCGAGGCAAGATCGTGGGAACGTACGCACCGCAAGAGGGGTATGCGGTTGAATGAGGATTGATTATAGGAGTAAGGGGGTTTAGTGGTTGTTGTTCGAAATGGTATTCTATTTTGTGCTTCGCTAATATCCAGTATACCCTTTATAATCTTGACGTTTCACTAGCAAACATGCAATGCTTGTCTCGTTTATGTCCTTCTTTCATTTGGGTGTAGATGTGTTACCCCTTTTTGTGCACCTGAATTAATCCACCGGGGTTCACGGAGGGGAAAGAAGCCGGTCGGACTCTAGACATCAGGTGTCGGGAGCCGAGTCATCATGCGTAACCGTTGGCCTTTCCCTCAGATGTCTTCGCAGCGGCATATCTCACAGCAGCTGACCTCTCACTGACTGACGGGATTATTCACGTCTGTCGCAGTATTATGTCACCAATCTTCGGGTGCCTCAGTTCTTCCTGTCGAAGTGCATCACAGAGCTGTGTCATATAATGTCCGGTAAGGGTGGGCACCCTGCTGTTCGTCGAAACCAACCCAGGTCAGGCACAGCTCGTGCCGAGAAATCTCAGTCAATGTGAGATATTTCTGGTGTAATAAGATAGTTGGTGGGTGATCTCCAAAATCGTGACGGGTATATTCCTTGCGTTCATTCTTGTCGGTTGATTTGCCAGAAAGGCGGGGTGAATCATAGGTCAGGAACCTTGACTTGACGACGAACTGCGCGAAGACGGGGCCTGAGTGCAAACGAGCTCCAATTGTATATCGTCCACATATTTGGGGGGATGGCCGTTGTAGGATGGAGCTCTGCTAATAATGGCAACTGCAACTTGAGCTGCTTGGTCATTGGCAGTCATGTTATCAATGAACCAAGTCTTCCACGGTTCACTGCTAGACCCGGACGTTTGGAGGGTTGCAATTCGTGTGATATCGGTTTCTTGAGCAAAAGCTTTCTTTAGTCAGTAAAAGAGACTCAATAAATAAGAGGTAAAACAAACACCGGAGTGAACATACAAATAGAGGGAATGGCAGCGACGTCGAATAGAGGTGGGGGGCAATTGGAGAGTACGGGCTGGTTGATGAGCATCTCACTCAAAACCGTATCCAGAGGGTCATCGTAGTAACTTCCACTTGTGGTGAGTCCAAACAAGGCCTGCTTCAACATAGTGATCAAGTCGTACGAGCACTGTGCGCCCCACACGCCATCGCAGCCATTGTTGGAACCTGACGGCGTTCCGGTAAGATTTCCCACCCGCAAGGCAACCTCGGAGGTGCGGTTGGAGTTGATAACAGAGTTATTGAGATGAGCACTGTATCCAAGCCAGAAGCTGACTTTAGTCATAGGTTCCTGGCCTTTTCCTCGAGAGTTGGCATCGAATCCATAGTAGAGGTTGAGGCTCTCCTCAAACAGAGGCGGGAAGTTGAAGGAGACGGCAGTCTGAGCCAGGGCATCAAGACAGCTACCACTCCAAAATGAGCAGAACTGAGCTATTGCGGGCGATCCAAAAACAAGTAATAGAACGAAGGCATTTACACAAGATCGGAGGACTGCCCCCATTCCAATAGGGCCGGCCATTTGGTACCACGAACGGTCGGAAATCGTGCTGAGAAGAGAGACCGATCTGCTTCACAGACACAATAATGATTTGATGGGATCCGTTGAGCGGGTGAAGACCATGCTCATAACCGTGGTTCGGTGTATATCAAGGTCGATTAACAGGCGGTGGGATAGGTGGTCGCTTGGAAATGGTCAGGGTCGGGAGGCGGTCGCCTGAATCATGCCAGAACTAGATTTGCTATAAACGCATAAAAGGCACGGAACAAGACGGATTCGCAGAAGTCCAAAGCTGTCGTGTAATATTCTCAAAAGTGTGTAAGACGAGTTCAATTCGGTTATTCGCTTGTTATGGGCAGTAGATATGTGTAGGGTTATTCGCGTTCGCAGCCGCGACGATCGGGTGCAGGAGTCGCGACAGACAGGGCGGCAGGCTGACGGCTTATCGGTAGATATGGTAGGGAGGTAAAGGAGGTACTCGTTTAGAATTGAAGGATACTTGAAGGTTATCAAGTCAAGGCTGGAAGAACAGACCGGGCCGTCGGGGTTCTGGCGGTTGGAAGACTGCTCAAATTGTCCCTGGCGCCAGGGCCTGTGTTAGAAATGATAGGGAGGGGGTGGTGGTGGTGGTGGTGGGAGGTGATGAGCGACGGTCAATGATGGGTGTGTACGGAGCGACAGGGGCCGGTGGTCGGTTGCGGAGAAGGAATCAAGCAGAGGTATTTAGCCAGAGAGTGAGAGTGAGAGAGGGGGTAAGCATAAGGTAATCAGGGTGTGATTGCCAGTAGAGAGAGGGAGAGTAAGTGAATTAGTTAGCAGTAGTGAGGAATTGGAGGTCAAGTCGGAAGGAGTAGTAGTAGTATGATGCTGCTCCGTCCTGGACAGATTATTCTTTTCTTGCCAGGGCGAGTTGGACTGTCTTGCCCGTGAAACAAGGCGTGTGGATACGCATGGGATTGGTCCAAGGTGCCTGGCTTTCGGTGACTCCCTGACTTCCCAGAATCCTCGAGGCATTCTTGGCGCTGCCCGGTCACCGACGCTAACTGGCAGCCCCGCATACCTTGTGCCGAATGCGGTAATTCCGGAGGGTAATCCCGCCCAGGGTCGCAGCAGGGAGCCAGTCACAGGGCCCATTCACCACATATTTCGGGACTGGCGCCGCTCCTCCTCTCTCCTCAGGGGCCAATAGACTCGCTTATGTTCCAGCCACCATCGTAACTAGGAGGTTAGGTGGTATTTTATTTTCTTTCTTCCCACGCCCAGTGACAGTCAGAAAACGCGTCTTTAGTTGAATACTTACTGAGTAACTGATTATTTAGCTGTGCGCCTGGTGAAATTTCCTTTCTGACTGAGGGTCCAGGCTGTCTCCATATAACTAGCTAACCAACAACATACTAGTAGTTAATCTGTAGTGCTGATGAGCAGCGTCGGTGTGAACCTGCTCGGACTGCTGTCCTGTGCACGGTCGGTATCTCGTATCTCAGGTATTGTGTGGTAGTTCATACCAAGCCCCGTATTGGAACCAGCGTTTGAGATGACTTCTTCCGATTATTTTTATCATTATTATCCTTATTCTTTACGGTTTGGGAAACACTATGATCTTCCGGTTTCAGGGTCTGGTCACTCAATCCGACTAATAATATTACTTATCTAATATCTACCTGACTATAGTGGCCGGTAGCGGGTCCTAATCACCAACTGGTGATAAATTACAATATCTTTTTTTGGGACGCTAACTAAAACGCTTTTGGCTTTTTTCCACCATCATCCGGACCCTCCGGTGACATCGAGAATGCTTCAAGACCTGCCTTTCGACTCATTCGGAGCTCCTTCCGAACACATATGCTCGATGGTTTGTCCATCTCCATTTCTTACTTTTCGAGGAAGTAGTCAAGGCTCAACACATTGGTCTCACCAACCCCCAATAATCAATTCCCTGAGAGCACAACAGTACAGTACAGTAGATCGGATAAAGTCTGCTCGCAGGGGGACATTGAAGGACCGGCACATATAATCTACACTTTACAGTGGACAGCTTGTGAATTATTATTGACACTTCGGCCGAATTGTCCACTAACCCAATTTGGTCCTGTCGCCCGTGAACTTTTCTGGCCTTACTTTCATCAATCCCTCGTGTTCTGCGGTAAACGTCGAACAAGCTTTTCTCATCCATCTGATGGTAGTTTATAGGAGAATTCTGCAGAACCCTGCTGAGCTGTTGGATAGGCTACACTAGCAATTGTGGATGACTACCAGCGTGTGTTCAGGTCTCACGATTCTTTCGGCCTCGGATCCGCCTACACAGTTCGTACACAACGGTTCCCAAAACTACCAAAGACTAGATGCTCTCAGTCTAATACCTGGTATTTCCCATTAACCCACTCACTCACGCCTCGATTACTATGTTTCTGGGACAGATTAATCTACCCCAAGTACGGTGAGTTTGCCAATATCTGAGCAGTCAATGGTTATATGCCAACCGCACGTGGCTAGCGTATCGGCATATTGGCCTTTCCCTCGTCTACTACTAGTATAGTATTGCTTTTGCCAATCAATGCGCCCAGTCTCGGAGGTTTTTTGCTGCATGGCGCGTTGTGATAAACACCTACTCGAACAAGCATGGCTAGAATATAGTGAGTTCAGTAATACAGCCCAAAGCTCAGGCCATGCCCGCAGGGTCTCGTTGTAACGAGACACGGACTGAACACGGATAAATGTCGGATGTCCGAACACCCTTGACTTCGTTATGCTTTAGGTCAAGTGTGATGGTTGCCGGAGGAGTCACTCTGAAGCACGCCGCTGGTAGGGAGAGGCCCAGATATCGCACCAATGGTATTTGGGGATGGCCCATAGGCCAATTAATCAGAGTGATATTATCGGAATAGGTGAAGTGAGGTGAGGTTATTAAGTGTCCACACAGCTAGCCAGCAAGACAAGCTAACCCGAGGCTAGCTATACCCTATCATGGCTTTCCCAAATTCTCGGCATAATCATGAATGCCAACGAGCTATAGGTTTACCTTTTGATCTACAGGATGGTTGAGCGTGGCTGGTGATCCTACCAACGCTACTGTAGCGGTAGCTGCCGATGTTACCAGCTATCAGAACCAAGCAACTCAGGACGTCAACTTGTGTCACATGCTACTACAATGTCAATCATCCACCCTATCCGATAGATGAGACGATGTCTGGAACGGTAGACCGTTTTCCATTGCAAAAGCTCAAAGAGGGGGTTTGTTGATTGTCGGAGAACCGTTAGTTAGCCTGACCGATACGACTAGCGCGGTCCCTCGGAGAGATCCACTTTCCCTTCAATAACTACTACTAGTGGTCCCTGATTCACTCACTCGACTCAACTCACAGGCACACCACACTAGTAGCCATCTACTAAACTAACAGTACTAAAGTAGCCTGCCCAACTTAGCGTCTTAGCCAGCAAAGTCCCTGATTTCCCTGCCTTCCCCCTGTTGCGATGGGGTTCGACCGACAGAAATAATTCCATCCAATGGTTAGTTAGTTAGCTAGACAGTACTTACTAGTGGATTTTTCGGGGTTGCACTTTTGGGGTTCTTTTCGACCTTCGTAGCTAAGGAACAAGGGCCACTAGTGGCCGCTATGAAGATTTCCGAGCAATGAGCACTGTTCCTTGAATGGAACCCCCGAAATTAATTCATTTGGGTTTGTTGCTTTTTCGCTCAACACCCCCCACCTCTCTCTCGGGCTCTCTCTCTTCATAGCTCATCGTGTGTTGTTGTTGGGTCGGCTATTGCCGCTGTTGCCACCAGTGGGTAGGTGGGTAGGATTTAGTTTTTGGGTTCGCTTTCGCTTGCGGAAAAAGTCTCTGTTTGTATGCATGCATGCAATGTACGTAGGTAGCGATCGATTGCATACCACTCTCACTTTTCTTTCTTTCATTCTTCATTCATCACTTGGTACACACACCCACACCCCTGTACAGTAAGAAGAGGCGTGTGATATGTCTACTACCTCACTACTCCAGTATGAAGTGGTCAGACACTGCTTATCTCACTGCAAGTGAACAGGCAGAGAAATAGAACAGGGAAATAACTTATTCCAAGCATGCCGTCCTCCCCAAAAGAGCTTGTGATGGGTCGCAGTCTACCCTAATTTGAAAAGAACAAAAAGAAAAAGAAAAAAACCAAGACCCTCGGTGGCGGCTCTTTTGATTACTTCCCATGTGGAATCAACCCCAAGCCAAATCAGTCACCAGTGACACTTCCTTTTTCCCTTTCTCACAAGATAGTAATTGAACTAACACTAACTTGGACTGAAATTGATCCCTGGTTTTTAGAGCCACCATCAGTACTCACTACTTTAGTGTCTACCACTAACTACTTAACCAACCAACCCGGCACCAACCCGAGGGGCCCAAGCGGCCAGTAAATACCAAGTAGATAGCAGCACTACTCCGTCACTTCGTAGAATTTGACTATTGTTTCGCATTTGCTGCCTACCAATTTCCTCTCTCAACTAAACTAACTATGATGTCTTTCCAAAGAAGGAGGTGGGGTTGGGGAATTTGTTCAACCCTTTTCTTTTCCCCCTTCCCTACTTAGTAGTTAGTTCCCTTTTTCTGCCATGGACCGAAGGGATGGATGGGTAGTAGAGAAAAAATATGCAATGACATCAGTGATGCCCATCCCTGATCACCCACGACGAACCCGCATTCCAAACATCCGCGATCTTCTCTTTTAGGGATAGTCTGAATGCATCATTTCTACTACGTACTACATACTTACAGAGTAGGAGGCACACACACACACACACACACACACTCTCTCTCTCTCTCTCTCTCTCTGTTGGTTTACTACTTACTTACTTAGTTACCATACCATGTGCAACCAACCACAGGTCGAATAGTATACTTAGTTATTTTACTTTACTTCAGTCAGCCGACAATCAATTTGTTAATGTAGGTATCATTGAAAATAAAGCTATTCCATTCAAGAGAAAGGGTTCATTTATGCATTACATGCATGCACATGGAGACCTGAGTCCTACCTACCTACTTTTACTGTACTTACCTACCCCTCTTTCATAATTCCATCTCATCTCATCCCGTCTCCCAGGATCAGGATCAATTAAATGAAATGCCATCCATGTACGTAGTACTAACTATGCGACAATAATGCCTATGAGGTCATCCATCCGGAATGCCCTAAATCCTTAAGTTAGTACCCTACTGAAACCAAATAATACATTCTCCAACCAACCATCCATCTGCCTGCCTGCCTGCCTATCTGACTGTCTGACTCGCTCAGCCAAGCAAGTGGGCTCTCTCTCGGGTATGCTTGCTTGCTTGCTTGCTTTGCTTGCTGCCTAGTCAGTCGCGAACCCCCTACCCATCATATCACCAAGTAACTAAAATTTAATTTATTCTATTTTATTATTAACAAACAGTTCGTTTCCAATCCATTCACAACAATACCTAAATGCCAATGGTCATTAGTAGATAGATCCATCATCCGGCTCTTGGCTGCCTAGTCAAGATAAGGGGAAAGAAAGAAAGAAGGAAGAAAACTCCTCCTGTTCTTCACACTTCCTTTCGCTTCGCTTCCGGTTCGTTCGAAGAACGAACTCATTCAGCCTCGGGATTCTCGGAAGTGCGTGGGTGGGTGGGTAGGTGACTAGGGACTCATTCCGGAATACCTTCCCCCCCTAAGTTCCTCTTCTCTTATCGTGATATTATAATCGGGGCTTAGCATGGTAGTATAGTACTACTACCTAGGTAGGTACTAGGTTCAGCAGCTGCCTAATGCTGCCAAGTTGGAGTATTTTCCCAAAAAAAAAAAAAAACCAATTGGACCATAGCTGATTTCTTCGGTTGGAGTTGCCTGTGGATTCGAGCTTTGCCTTTGTCGGATTGTCTCCCAATGTATTAAGTAGTTATGAACATATCGATGAGACAGAGGGACATCTAAGGAGTCAAAGAAGACGAGATGGGGAGCTCATACCCCAATTTCATATTTGCTGTGGAGTCGTAACTAGTTAGCGGGTGCTAAATACTACTATGGTACTATAACTTCCTATGTTCGTTGCTATCCCTTCGTATCCTGATAAGCACATACGAACGGTAACATGTGCAAGTTTACGGGTTCCATCGGCAAATGGCCTTCTATACGAGGTCGCGTGCCTTGGAGATGTCTCTCACAACCCTTTGACCTAGACTCCCTTTGTCTGGGTTTCTTCTGCCTGATCTATAAAAATAGATCCCACAGTATACCTTCATCGACGCTGCATAGTCGAGGTGTGCCTCAGTCTCTCCAGTCCTTCAGCGCGCTCTCTGAGTATTGACGCATATCCCTCGATCGTTTTCATCAACCGGCGAATCTTTTCCATTTCTCGAGCCCGATTCTTGTTCGCAATAGACACCAATTTGCGTGCCGTTTCAACCTCGGCCACCTCCATGTCTGTCAACCCACGCGTCTGGCGCGACTGATGACTGTTCTTAAGGTTTTTTGTGATGTTGGTGACCTTGGTGACAGCTTTTACGAGGGGTAACATAAATATCATGTGCGACGTAAGCCAGGAAGCATTTTCAGGTGTAGCGCCTCGATGGCCAAAGACCACGTCCATGGCCGCCGCCCGCTGCGTAAACCTCTTGAGACTATGAGCTCCCTGGGGCACCGGCGCCACGTTCTGCTCCCAGTCGAAGTACGGGAGCTTCATACCATTGCTATCCCCTTCGTTGCAGGAACGGTCACCGTTCTTAGGCTTGGTGTCTTGTCTCGTCTTCATCTCCTTCCAAGTCTCATACATCCACAGCTCTTCCGATGTCAGCTGGCTCATGGCCACGCTCTCCGGGTCGCTTTTCGATGGGTATGTTGCTAGTTTTAGTCCCGTAAATAGTGCGAGACTGTTTCCTTGCTCGACTATTTTAGCTAGCTCTTCAAGCTTCGTGCAAGTCGTTTGAAGATCATCCGTCTCGGTAGGCACAGGTAGGAATCTGAAACCCTCGCTTACTTGTGTACCGTCCGCAAAAGGCGTAACCGGATCTTCATATTCACGCTTCACTCCATGGCGTTCTGATGTTATCTGAGAATCATAAACGCGTACCCCACGCGTCGGTAGTTGCCGTTCCATCTTCCGGTGCCGGGTCTAATCTATGTAGGGATTCCTGGGGTGTTTGGATGCGGACGGTCTGAAGAGACAGGAACCGAGATAGTACAACAGCTTATGAGCCAGCTGAAATAAATCGTTTCATGTTAGTTCCTGAGCAAAGGTTCATGGGCTCGTGTTTAGTCTGCAGGGGTCACACCAACTGTAATCCAGCTGTTCAAGGAGTTTCTCACGGAAAGGATACCACGTTCTGGCTCAGGTAGTGGTCACGTGCATTTCCAGACCGTTCGTCTCTGGTTATTGGCCGTCGTCACCCTGCGATCAATTGATTGCAGTCCCTGCTGGCGAGCCTCGATGGCGTCCGGCAGATTATCTCGCGGTATGTGGTTACCAGAGGATCTTTCAAGGGTGAGAGACTATCTTCCGTGAAAAGATGGTCGGGCAGAAGTCAAGATAAAGTATCAGTGAAGGAAGTGTAAACCGAACAGGGCTTTCAAAGAAAGCCAATGTGGTCGTCTTGGAAGACATGCAACTACAGGAAATAGAAGCAAGTGAAAGAAGTAAATGTGAATTGCATCGATATTGTACAGAGGTGCAACCGAATTCAGCAAGAGTATCCGACTGGCCGCCCTTTCCTAATATACACAAGGTTTTGATCCGTGACGTTTCTCGTTGTATACATGGTGAGATAATATGCAGGTGTCAAAATAGTCAGAAATTTCAGAGTATAACCCTGAATGAAAGGAAGAAGAAAAGTTTCAGAAGGGTAGGAGATTGTCCGTCAAAAGCAAGAAAGAAATGAGAATCCCCCAAAAACGCCAGAGCTCCACGCTTGAATGTCGCACATATATTTCCCGTGTTGGTCGCCTTTTCTCCAAATCGATGAAAAGTTCGAAATCAATTGTCGTCATCTTGAATAGACGCGTGCCCATGGCCGGATAGCCAAACTCGCTTCCAGGGACCGCCCTCAGGCCCGAACGCTGCTTCCCGATCTTGACGCATCCCTTCGAGAACACCTACGATACCGCCATTGCGCAAGCGCTCAAGGACCACGTTCATACCCTGCTTACTCTTAAGCACGGCATCCCGAGTGCGGTTCAATCCAATCAGCTCAATCGTGCGTTGGATTCCCGCAGTGGACAGGGAGGTGAAAAGGCCTCTTTTTGGAGCTTCTTCTTCGTAATCCCCAGTGTGATCGCTACTCGGCTCCGTCTTCCTTCTGCCTAGCAGTTTTCCTTGCCCGAATTTAGAGCGGAAAGTGACTGTAGTGCGCACCGTAGTCTGCTCGCTTTTCTTGTCATCGAGGGAAAGCCCTTCCAGGGTGCCGAGCGGACCTTCGGGCTGACGCTGGTAGAATTGCTTCTCGACCACGCTCAATATCCCAGTCCATTCCATGTTACGAGATTCCGTCTGCATCCAGCCCTCTTTGGCGTCCACAACAGTCGTTTCGAGGATATAGCTCTGGCCGGAATTGTCTGAGCCGCCAATCCCTTTGGGGAGGAGTTTGAGGATTCCCGAGGGGACCTTGGATTTCTTGAGGAGGAGGCGAGTGGTGTGGAGACGCTGAGTCGTCGGATCGACATAACGGTCAATGACATCGGTGGTCAGCACATGGCGAGAATACGGGTTGGGATAGCGAAGGAAGTAGGCCAGCGACACGGCCGGGAAGGAATAGTCGTAGGTGAAGACATTCTCGAAGAATTTCATAATTGCGAATGATGCATACAGAGTGAATCGGATAATTGGAATGAGGAAGTCACACCAACTTGGGGAAGAGAGAGGATGGAACTGGAGCACAGGGTGGCGTTGGGGATGCTGCTTGGTTTAAAGTGAACTGCAGTGCTCGCCTGCTCAATCGCCTTTCTCAGTGGCCGGACGAATCTGCCCGAGCCTCCGACTGGGAAGAATTTCTGTCAGCTTCTGGCCGCTCGCCGCTAAGCCTGTTTGGTAATGCGGGGATGGGCCGGTGCATCATCTGATTGTCTCCCGTCTGGCCAATCATCATGTAGTACTTAGTAGTCCTCTTGGTTTTCTTCAGCTACAAAGCACTACTATAGACCAGGACTGCGTGGCAGACAGCAAAGTCTTTGCTGATCCTCGTATGATCATACTTGAGGTATCGAATTTCTGACGTCAGGACAATCACCCTGCTTGTGATAGTAGTAGTATTCAACACACAACGGACTACCAGCCAATCTTCCATCATTTTATATATCCGGGTTGTATACGGGGAATAACGGGGAGTATAATCACCTTGAACTACTCACTATTCCACAAATACTGTAGTTCCAGCAATAGTGTTTAGTAGTACTAGTAGTATAACTTTAAGTACTTCAATCACTAACCATAACTACTACTAGTGCCGAGTTGTGACGAAACGGAGGAGCCATGACAGCCAAGCTTTTTGGACCTAGTACCAGTATAATTAGTAGGAGTAACAGGCTAACAGCAGAATACTTAATAGTAGTACCCACTGCTAGTCACACTCAATTATATAGCATACTAGTATGAGGGGTAGTTACTCGGTAGTACTACTACTGTAGTAGTGAGCACCCAGTTCGGACTCCACAAAGGTACTAGCATAATTCAACAGTGCTCTGCCTGTACTATTTATGCTCCATCTCATAACAACCTTTCGTCATAGCAGGGTGCAGTACAGTCGGACTCATACGTGGCCCTGCAATATAATGACAATAGGTGCGGAGCACTATTTGGCGCTTTTATGCATAAGATGTGTCAACAAGTGTGACACATGTCTGCAAGCTCATACGCCTACATGACCGATAGGGAAATCCTGGTCTCTCACAAGGTCGGGGCCCGAGATATCCGGGTTTTATCCTCGACTTTACTCGGAAATCCTTCTATTGTCTGGCTTAGATAGACGTTAGGCATGTGGCTCGTCGATTCCTCTGAGTACAATCTTGCCGCGGATGAAACCTCGGACACCATTGCTGAGCCAGCACTCCTCGCCATCCACTAGGTCAGTAGCTGCAATTGTATCCTCAGCGCAGAATCCCTGTGCTAAAGCATATTGTCTCGTTGTACCCGCATTGCCACCGCTGGAAAGCGGCGGTGTAATCCAAGCTGGCTTTCCCTCCCCCTCCGTCGTATTTCGTCGCCTGAAGTATGGTGTTGTAATGCTTCCTTCCATGATCGCACCCGCCGGGTTTACCAGAAGAACTTCCGCAGGCTCTACAAAAGAAACTATTCCCGATCGGAGTCGTGCAGCTGTGTAGAAGTCGCGAGCCGTAGTCTTGTGTGTGGTGAAAACGGATGGGGATATGCGTTCGGAATCGATGTATACACGCCAGGCAGTGGACTGAAGGTTCGTTTCGGTTGGAGTTAGATAATTCAGCGGATTCATTGACGTCGTCGGGTTGACCTCAACCTCGCAAGTGCCCGTGCTATCGAGGAGAATTCGGAGGCGCCATGGCTTGGTGTTGTCCGGAATGAAGGTGTTAAGAAACTCGACGAACTGATTCGTGTCTTGTTTCAGGAAGGCGAGAGCCTTTCCCCAGCTGAAACATGCCGCTGCATTTCGAAGGCGTTCTTGATGGTAAGGGAGGAGATAATACGGTGTGGTCAATGGATCGGGTGTTGTTCTAGCCGCTGCTCGCTTGCCTATCGTTGAAAGAGCAGGATCGTAGCGTAGAGACGATATGATTTTGAAGTCCTGTGGCAGCACCTCCGAGGCCATTTTTTTGCCGTCGCGGCAATTGCGACCGAGAAAAGTAGACAAGACACTTGTAAGTATGAGCTAGACAGAGCACCGAGCTGTTAGCAAGTGATAGCCGTGCTGTTGGCACCTCGGCACATTAGACGGTCGCACACTAGAAAAAGGGGGTTTGCGCAATTGAGAATATTAATTCGCGCCAGCCTGAGCTATGTGAGATGGTCATGATCCAGCACAGAAGACGACACATTGGTCCCATTTGCCTTGGAATCACGGATGATGATGTTGTGGAGAAAGCAGGAGCTGACGGAGCCCATCCCCTTGCGGCGAGTGTGATTGGCCCAAACCAGCTCGGAAAGCCCGCTGCGTCGCCGGAACCTGAACATCGCAACGCATAACTTTTCAAGCCGCATCTCTCCTCGCTCTCTCCCAACCCCAAGACAAGTTGTCCGCCCTGCCGACAAGCACTTGCTCTGCACTCAGGACCGTCCGTGCTCCCTATCAATTCCCTCCCAGGCCCATTTGGCTGTCACGATGCTGACCAAGCTCCCTTTGTAGATTCATAGGAAAAGCGATAAGAAGACGGGTTCCTCTGTCGGGTCATCATGTCAAGCCAGTCGCCATTGCCCCAGCCTACGAAGAACGTCGTTCTTGACACGACTTCTCTTCCCCCATCTTCATCAGCATCAGTTTGGGACCGCATCTCGAAATGGGTGTCGGAAAATAAGGCCCTTGTTTACACCATTGCCGGTGTTGCTGTGGTCGTGACCAGCGCGGGTGTCGTCTACTACCTCTCCGACTCAGGTCGGACTACCCCGGCCCCTTCCACAGAGAAGAAGAAGAGCAAGAATCAGAGGAGAAAGGAGAAGAAGAAGGCAGAAGAAGAGAAGAAGGCCAAGGCTGCCTCCGTTCAAGAGGGTATGTTGAAGAGAACCACACTCTGCCTCTCCCGTCGACAATTATCCGATTCGGGCTGACGATCTCCTTAGAGCCTGCCGCAAAGAAGACGGAGGAAGCGTCCGAAGAACTCCCAGAAGTTGACGAGGAATCCGTTGCACAGCTGTCGGAAGAGGTAAGTCTTTGGCCTTTTACGATGGAAACACCTTCGGTCGCCGATACCGCAAATGCTAATACCGGATTTAAAGACAAGGAAGGCTTACGCAGCCAAGCTCAAGGCTGCTGGAAACAAGGCGTATGGCTCCAAGGACTACAACAATGCCATTGAGCTCTACGGAAAGGCCATTCTCTGCAAGCCCGATCCGGTCTTCTACTCGAACCGTGCCGCCTGCTATAACGTTCTGTCGGAGTGGGAGAAGGTCGTCGAAGATACCAGTGCCGCTCTCGCCATGGACAGTGAGTACGTCAAGGCCCTGAACCGGAGAGCCATTGCATACGAACACCTGGAGAAGTTCAGCGAGGCTCTACTTGACTTCACTGCCAGCTGCATCATCGACGGCTTCTCCAACGAGATCAGCCGTGTTGCTCTGGAAAGACTCCTGAAGAAGGTTGCCGAGAGGAAAGGAAAGGCCATTATTGAGGCGAAGGGCAAGAAGCTCCCTAGCCCGACCTTTGTTTCGAACTATCTCCAGAGCTTCCGCCCCCAGGCACTGCCCGAAGGCCTCGATGAGTCTGCGGATCTGAGCGACGACTCCGGTAAGGGTCAACTCCGCAAGGGTCTGCTTGCAATGGCCCTGAAGACTGGTGATGGCTACGAGGAGGCTGCTTCTGCCTTTGAGAAGGCTCTGGAGCTCGGAGACTTGGGTGAATACGAAGCCCTTGCTCTTAACCTGAGAGCCACCTTCACCTATCTCGAGGGTAACGCTCAGGCCGCATTGTTGGATCTCAACAAGAGTGTTGAGCTGCAGCCGTCGTTGGTTCAGAGCTACATCAAGCGTGCCAGCTTGCACCTCGAGCTCGGTATGTTAAATGCCCTTTTCGTTTGGTAGATGCTTTGCTGACATGTCCCAAAGGAAACAAGGACGCCGCTGCCGACGACTTCGAGCTCGCCATCACCCACAACAAGGATGACCCCGACATCTACTACCACCGCGCCCAGCTTCACTTCATCCTCGGAGAGTTCGCCGAGGCTGCTAAGGATTACCAGAAATCCATCGACCTCGACCGTACGTTCATCTACTCCCACATTCAGCTTGGTGTTACGCAGTACAAGATGGGCTCCGTTGCGTCCGCCATGGCCACCTTCAGAAGATCCGTGAAGAACTTTGAAGAAGTGCCTGATGTCTACAACTACTACGGTGAACTTCTCCTCGATCAGCAGAACTTCTCGGAGGCAATTGAGAAGTTCGACAAGGCCGTGGAGATGGAGAAGCAGAGCAAGCCCATGGGTATTAACGTCCTGCCCCTGATCAACAAGGCTCTTGCCTTGTTCCAGTGGAAGCACGATTTCCAGGAGGCCGAGAACCTCTGCCAGAAAGCTTTGATCAGTAAGTCTTGCGAACGTTCGCTGTAAAGTGGAGAGATCTTGGAACACTAACCGGCTTGCAGTCGACCCCGAATGCGATATCGCCGTAGGAACGATGGCCCAGCTTCTGCTGCAGCAGGGCAAGGTCTCGCAGGCCCTCAAGTACTTCGAGCGCGCCGCTGAGCTTGCTCGTACCGAGGCGGAGATTATCAATGCCATCTCCTATGCCGAGGCCACCCGCACGCAGCTGGAAGTCCAGGAGAAGTACCCCCAGCTTGCTGCCCGTCTGCAAGGCATGGGTGCTGGCTTTGCCCCCCCTCCCTCTCTGTAAGATTGAGTCCTGATATATCTTCATTTACACCCGTCAAGACGCCGAAAGACGTGTACGACCTAATCTATTTTCCCTCATTCTCTTCTGTCTTGGAATTCCGGTGGTTGAAGCGTTGCAGGCCGTAGCTTATGCCTGGTCTGCTCTGGTAGGTGCATGGGCGCCTGAACCATTCATCTGTGTGTATTTACTATAAGGACTTCTTTTCTTTTCTTTTTTTCTTTTTATGTCTCGATTTATTTGACGTCTGGATCTTTTATTTTTTCTTTTTGTGCCGATATACTGTTTTATCTCCTGTTGCGACCGTGTTTCCATGTTTCTGTTTGCGAGATGGTTTTCCTCCCCCCTCTCTGTTTGTCTCCAAGCTCTCTCCATTGGTTCTGGGAGGGGCACACTGGGCTCTTTTATCGAGGAAGAAATGCGGGGCATGATGAGAGATGAGAGAGGTCTGCGGACCGGAAGATACACATATACTTTCTATCCGGCATGTCGGTTTGGGAAGAGGGGCAAGCACGAGCGATGTATGTATGTACCATAGTATAGGGAAAGCCAAGTGTGGGATGAATAACTTCAAGTCAAGAAAGAGTTAAGGTAATGGTGACAGGTCGGGTCGAATGATGGGGGAGATACTAGATGGCAAGTCACTGGATCACCATTTTGAGTAACTAGTGTATTCACCTAATCTTACCTCTTCTGTATTCCGCCCGACTAAACTAAAAGGTGCTGGTCCACCTGACGGGTATTCCCCCCCCACCCGTCGGCCTATCAGCAATCGCTCTCTCGCCCGCATCGGCGTCATCCATCTTGTCCGAACATGTTATCGTTCGACTCATCTACTCCCTATCTGACACTCATTCAACAGCTTGTCTGCTGAGTGATGCCTCTCCTACTTCTTTCTCCATCTTTCTTGTGAGTGAGACTCTGTCTCAGTCCCTTCCGAGGTGTGTTAAACTACCTCTTTCACTTTTGTTGCGTGAACCAAACCTGAGTGGTAGTAAGTAAGATACGGCCCCTTCCTATTCTTCTTATCAAATACTACACTATGAATCAGCGCCCTCTGCCTGATCGCCGTCACACCCTTCCCTGCAGGCAATATCTGGGGACTGTCTAGGCTGCCTTTGACATTCACTGCTGGTACTAACACTTTGGTACGCTTTCATAGCCAGTGACTTTTCCTTCTACGTTTCCCGGGTGCCTGACAGCGACCGCCCATTGATTGACCTCAGGCTGATCCCATCGGGTCGGTCGTATGCTCCTGCCCCTCCTACCCAAAGCTTCCTTGGCTTCCCCCGTTGGCCGCCTCATCAGCCTGCTGTAAACACTTCATCACTTCCCTGCCTTTCCCCTCTCGACGCTATCGTGGTCTTCATCTACCTTCAAAGGCTACACTCAGATCCGTTTCTCATTCTCTGCCGTCTTGTTGGTTGATGTTGATGCTGAGTAGGTAAGCGCTCAGGCAGCCTGTCCGGTTTCTGGCATCCGGTCTTGCCGTTCAAGCGCTGGGGATTCTGAGATATAAGACACTGATACCTTGGTTCGATCCAGACTGCACTGCACGTCTTAATAACTGTCGCTCTATCTCTTTGTGCTGACGGCACCACCACTTATCACCATGCCTGCCACACAGGGTAAGTGTCTGCTCTGCACTAGTCTATACGCACCGAAGCCAAATCGAACTAATACCTGTTCTTCGGGCAGCTATTGTGACTCTCCGCCCTTTGTCCGTATCCGATGATTTGCCATATCGATCCCTAGAGTTCACTTCTACCAATAATCAAGTCAACATTGGTCGGGCTTCTAAGCGTGAATCAAAGAATCTTATCCCCGCCAGAAACAATGGATTATTTGAATCGAGGGTCATGTCGCGCAACCATGCCAAGCTATGGGTGTGCTTCGACAAGCAGGTATGTTCTTCTATATGGCTATCACCTCAACAGGTAGTTGGGCTTCAGGCCAAGATAGGCTGAACTTTGTTTAGCTCGTCTACATTCGTGACGGTGGGTCGATGCATGGTACCTGGATAAATGGGAAGAGAATTCCAACAGAGGAGGACTCTGTCATCAAACATGATGACGTGGTCACCTTTGGCTCCACAGTGTATCGTGGCTCTGGTGAGTCTTGCCCGACTACTGAGAAAGGTACAGATGGGTTATTGACGTGTCATATAAGATACCTTCCCTCCACTTAAAGTTCGTTGTGAATTCGAATGGCCTGACCCTTTGTACGCCCCATGTGTCCCGCCTAGTTTGAGCAGTGCTGACACCATGGACAGCCAAAGAACCGCCCTTGCAACCAATACCTTTTGTGTTCCTGACGATGATGACAGTGATGCAAAAGAAGATTCCGTTCCTATGGTGGTTGCATCCGACAGTGCTTCCGAGATTGACAACTCCACCCCCGATTCAGATTCAGACGACCAATCCGTCATGGAGGTTTCGTCGCCTTTGACGTCCCCTCTGAAGAGGGACGACGCAAGAAATTCCCACGTGGGTGCCTGCTCAGATACAGATCAAG